CAGAATACGAATCGTTGCGTTCTCACTATTAATTTGGTTAACCTCGTACATCAAATATTCCTATGAGCACTAGCGTTTAAACTAGGCCTAGCCTGTATCTTAAACGCTAGTCCCTTTCAGTGTCATTAACAAATTGGTTAACCAATTGTTGTTGGTGTTAAATACGTATCAATAAAAGAGCGTACCAATTCTTAAAAGACAAAACTCGCGAGGCAATGTAAGAGTCTATGGGCGGTGGTATCAGTTAAGATCAGAAGAGGTTGCTGCCTGTTTACCCCCAGTAATATATAAAAAATTAAGTCTTCCTGTTTTTCAATATGCATTTTGGTGTAATACCGATACAGGAAAATATTTTACTTAATGTGACTATCATTGAAATTTGTTTGCTTTTGTACAATTATTATTTGTTTATACATGAGAAATTAAGACAATATAGAACATAAATTCTCCATGGTAAGCACGTGTAACCCTCAGACCTCAATAGAACCAGGTGCCCAGTACTCAATGTCGCAATATTTCGGGAGGTAACGGTGAAAACTGGGTGCATCGACCGTCAGTCGGGCATCAGTCGGGTTTAATAAACCGTGGTGTAATGTTCTATCCCGAAATTCGAAAATGTGATTGTAAGTTGGTTGTCTATAGTTTGAAGTTTTATATTCTGTGACTAATTAGCGAATTCCCAAATCGAACTGATTACTTAACAACTAAGAAGTTTAATTGTTTTTTACGTATTTAGATATTTATATGGAAGAAAATTTATTAGAAAAGTTTATATATGTTTTGCTGTTTAATTAACATTCATAAGACGATTCGATTGGTACTTTATTGTTACCTTTTTTTGGTACTATCAACGAATAGACAAGTAAAGTGGGTTAAAAAAATATACATAGTCTGTGAAACTTATACACAATATTGCGTAGCTTTGAGCAGGATTGTAGAATTTACTTAATCGCGTGAAATTATGCGTAAAACAGGCGTTAAAATAATTTAGCCTGGCCGGAAAGCGATTATTTTAATAAGGAATTACATTAAAAGTTGTTATCTCGCATTTAATGTTTGAAAAGTTGTTAACATTTCTTAATCGTAATTACAAGTTGCATGAGTAGTTTGAACTAGAATGTCTCAGATTAATTATTATTATTTAATTCTTTATAGCCAAGTGATGATGAAGGTGATGGGGTTTCTTTGAGTTACTTGTTTGAACCAAGTTATTTTTTTCCTATATACATAGATATAGAATATGATTGTACTTGGCCGGGGTTTGAACGCTACAATAGTTATGCCACCTCTTACAGAAGTTCTTAAATTGCAAAATTGTTTTTTAATTAGAGGTGAAATTACATTTCGAAATTCGAATAAACAGTGTATTATACTTTTACCTTTATAAATAAAAAAGTAATTATTAATTGGTGTATGGTAACATTGGTGTCACCATTTTCATTGGGAACCCTTTTAAGTAAAATATAATATAAATAAACTGAACTTAAAATTCCCCTAAACATCGTTTAAAATTTTAAAAAAGTAAGCTCGGCTTGTGAGCTAATTTTGAATTAGCATTGACAATACATTCAAGTAGTATAAAATAGCAGTAATTTCGATCTTGGAGTTTTATAGCTTTTTGATATTTCAGTTATTATGCTTGTGCTTTTTAAAAAAATCTTGTATAAAGTACCCCCCTAAAATCCCCCTAAATTATTGTATCTTCTAAAAACACCCCAAGACATCCCGATTCCCCCTAAATTTGAGGGGAAAGAAGTTGGCATCACCGCTACAATATTCTCTTGGAACTTACTTTGGAATAACTAAAGCGCGTTGTTTTGCACTTAATTTCTATGCGATTTACATAATATACATATCAAGTACAGTAGACTTATAATACGAGTACATATATCCATTTCATTATCCTACATAGCATTTTCGTCTTTATCATGAGGCCCATAAATAACAATTTCCCTAACGTATTAGTAACCTTTAGTATGTTACTGGTACGCTTCTAGACTTTAAATTACTTTTAAACTTTTGATTTACAGTTCTTGGAATATTAATTACATTTGTAAACTCTATATAAATTTAGCAATATCTTTTATCTTGTTTCTTAGCCTACATAATAAATATAATTAAAAAAATAATAATATTAAAACTAACTTAAAAAGTTTGGTCCCTTAGCAGTCTACCTTTAATATTTATATCTTTTATTTATAGTAATATATCTTAATCTCTAACGCTGGTAACCTCGCTAAATTGCGATTGATACATCATGGGAAGCAGTGCCAGCTTTGGATTACCATGACAGTCGAAGCAGAATTAATATAATATATCTATGTGAATTGTAGAAAACATATATTAACAATATATATATATATATCTCAAACTCATGAACATTAAAAATAACAATTAAATTTTTTTGTTATAGGCCGTCTAGTATTACGTTCTAGAACCTAACGATCACAGGAGAGTGCCGTGCCTTCTTTAGGCGACGCGTTGCACTTGTTAATGATTATATATTGATTTTGTAATAAGACTTGTTAAATATTTATAAATCCATTTTTAGTTAAGTTATGTATCGTTTTCTAATCAGACATATAGGGAAATAAATTGTTTCTATTTCATTAAACGCGTAACTGATATTATATTGCGAAACTAAAAGGACTTAACCTTCAAACTCATGCGCACTTTCACTTGAGTCAACTTTCACATGGTAAAAGTTGTAGATTTATATCACAATGGGCAATAAATACAAATTGCTCAAAATTTGCTTTTAATCTTAAGAAATTTAAAGAAAGTAACTTAAAGCAAACTTGCAGAGGTGTCTCCACCACTCATAATAAGGCGTTCAAGTACTACGTAAGCACTTTAAGTGATGGGTGGGGGGGGTCTTTGATTTTCTTATTTGGTGATTACGTCAACAGTAATTATTTAAATTTTTACACATATTACCCACATTGTCTATGCTTGAAAAAGAAAAAGCATTTTCGAGGATTCCTAATAATTAAAATTAATACTTTTATGTTTGAGAGCTTTGCTTACTTTTGCTGACAAGAGGGGGGGATAAATTGCAGTAAATCTGCTTGCGTAATAACTGAACAGCCCCAATATCTAATTAGTAATAGGTTTACCAGTATTTTGATAGTTTGTCCATGTAGAACGGATGAATGAGGAGCGGCTTACAAGTAGGATATACAAGGCAACTGTGAATGGTGAAGTCGGGCTGGGTAGTCCTTGACGATACCTAGACCAAATTCAGGGTCAAGTTAAAAGTTCCCAAAAGTGGCAAGCTTCCATGGTGAACGTTCCATGAACGTGGATGAAGCGAGACTGGTATTTTTGGGGACCGTAGCAAGTCATCCGTGGTCTTTGCCTACTCCTTCGGTAAAGGCGTAAATAAATAAATAAAGTATTATGATCGAAAAAGAAAGTATAATTTTGTGTTATAAGCCCTCGTATACGTTCTACTGAGACTTACTTCTGGCTCATAAGATTGTAACCTTATCTTCCTTGTAAATGATAAATCTTTTGAAATGGAAGAAAATAGAAAAGAGAAAATTGCTTGGTTATTCAGCGTACCCAGTCTTTTGATAGCTATTCGTTGGGACGGCTTCTGTTTACAGACGTATTTTTTATTAACTTCATTATTCAGAAATGCCGTGAAATGTCCAATTTTTTTTTCATTTAAGTCAGTTTAGTCCAAAGATTTAAAAAATTCTTGAAGTGTGTAGAGTATACAAACCAAACTTTTTAAAATTGCTTTAATTTTCTATTTATTTATTTTTAATTATTACTTTGTATGTTAAGCAAATTGTAAATACTGTATATTTGAGTTGGAAATAAATACTTAGGTATATTTATGGGTTCTTAAATTAATCTTGGTACAGCTTTTTCCTTTACCCATAGGACCATTACGAGCTAGGGATAACGAAATCTTTCAAAATGCAAGTGTTATGTTGTAATATCATTATATAATCTGTATAATAAAGGCTGTATTATATAACTGCTGGTCAGTAGATCATGGGGTCTCAAATGTGGGCCAATGGTGTAATGAATAAAATACCGTTTCTTCGAAGATGTTACGGTATTCTGCTGCATAATGGAGTTTGGAAATACGCATTGATGGATTTCAAGGTCACATGTACCTTATGTTTATTCCGGATTCTCTAATATCGGATATTTTTATAGTTTTGACTAGTACTATTCTAACTTAATTAATGCGAGACTGATAAAATCGATTCCCAGGTCATCATCATCATCATCATCAGATTTCACTTGAGAATTGACCAACTGCTGACACAGCTCACGTAGCTGTTCCAAATTTGAATAGCTAGACACAGAGTAATTTTATAATTGTGAAAATAGGTGTAAGTAGTATTGAGGATGGTGTAACAATAAATTTGAATACCGCTCTGTCATTTTCATTCCCTTCCTAGTTGGGCATTATCTGTAGGGCTTAGGGATCCGTAGATTTGTTAGGTTCTTAGGTCTCTCTCATATTTAGTTATCTAGTGCAGTTTGCTAATACATACACTACATAATATGCAAATATAGCAAATAGTACTGAACTGAAGTTTTTGATTTTGGCTTTCTGTTGGTTATCAAAGTGGACTCTCCACCTTTTCTTTTCCACACCTTTTAGTTCCATGTCTCTGAATCAATTGTTAAAAGAGCACATGTCCATGGACAAGTGCCGTTTTAGTATTTAGTAAGAATATACAAGTCGCTTACTGTTCGTGTAAAGGGCGGAGAAGTGCTGTTTTGACAGAAAACGGTGTAGTTGACTAGTGATTAAAGCATTAAAAAAAATTTGGTTAAAATGTGACATGTGCCCTTTTAGTATTTAGACATTCATATACCATACAGATACTGACATTTAATACATATATACATTTCACAGTCCACTGGCTATCAAGCTGTACACTGCCCCATTTTACCCACCTTTATAAGTTATAAACACGCGAAGAATATAACAGGACAGTAAGAATCAAGTAATCTTCGATTTTCAGTTAAACATGGCAACATCAGTCCTACAACCTGCTGAATGTCGTCGTGATCCAAAACTTGACCATGCCTCTCTCAGACTCTCTGAAGAGGAGCGCCAAGCTATCCTGGAAGCTAAGGAAAGGGAGACAGGGGAGCTGCCTCCTGAGCTTCGTGAAAGGGCCAGGGTAGAGATAAGGGAAGAAACTGCGTTAAGGGAGGAGGCTCTCGCGCAAATGAGACATTTTATTGAGAAGCATCCAGCGATTAAGAAGTGTAGAACAGGTTAGTTAATTTACTTGGTATTTTACATAGAATATAAATAAATAAATCAGTGGCACCACGACCTCTTTAGGTCTTGGCCTCAGATTTCTGAATCTGTTTCATGATCATTTTTAAATCTAATAAGCAAGTATGTGATCAGCCTCCACTCTCCAGTGCCTGACACACACCGTACACTTTTTGGGTCTAAGACATGTCGGTTTCCTCACGATGTTTTCCTTCAGCGTTCGAGCAAATGTTAAATGCGCACATAAAAAGAAAGTCCATTGGTGCACAGCCGAGGATCGAACCTACGACCTCATGTATGAGAGTCGCACGCTACTAGGCCAACACTGCTCTTACATAAAATATACATATTATAATTTTTTGTTCGCGCAAAACGTAGATTTCTATCACTTATGTCCAATTCGTTGTCAGTAAACTAATAAGTTGGTCTGTTTTATTATAGTAAATGTAAATATTATGCTAGAACCACGCCCATTATAGGTAATTGTCGTCTTAAGATTTGTGTAACCAAGTTCTCTATGAAATGTTTACAATACTCAGAACTAGATTGTGATAAAATAGTATTTATTTATTTCGTATTCCTAAAGCTAGCATAAATTATATAATATATAACATAAATTATACTAAACATATAGCCAAAAATGGAATACATAATATAAACAAAAAGGTTCAAATATTTACGAAAGGAAAAAGTTAAAAATGAATTGAAAACCTAATGCCTAAACCGGCTGTGCTGTGTGAGGCGGTGTGGAAGTGAGGGTGTATATGTGGGATGTGCTCATGTGATTTAGCGTTATGGATATCCTTGATTATTTTTAAGCATATTCCGCGATAGCTTAAACAAGTCAAGGCATAAATAGTGGTCGGTGTATGTACGGGCTGCGCGATACAAAACCGAGTTCTTTGCATGGTTGAGTCTTTGCAAGGTAATTTACCTTTTCCGGAATTTTTTTATGGCATTGGAGTAATGGTGGTTATATTTTTCAGATACCCCTTTCCTACTGAGATTCCTACGTACCAAGAAATTCTCAATACCACAAGCCTGCTCAATGCTTGAGCGATACCTGACAATACGCCAAATGTATCCTCAGTGGTTCCAGAAGTTAGATCCATTGGACCCTAAGTTGGCGGCGGTTATAGATGCTGGCTACCTAGTGCCTTTACCCAAAAGAGATTCAGAAGGGAGACGGGTCGTGCTTTCTTGTATGGGTGAGTATAGTACCCTTAGTTTAGATACCTTTGCTATTTAAACTTCATTCAAACACTAAATCAATTACTCTTTTAACTTGAGTACTCTTTCGTCTCTTTCTGTCAAATTGTATTAACACTTTTATGAAAAGAGACACATAGTACTTGTAGTTATTCACTTTCATACTCCTGCGCCATTATGATTGTTAGGTGCCTATTTTGAGGGATTAGCAAAGAAAGAGTAAATTATATGAAACGATTTCTCGGATTAAATGTACTTACCCGTTAATAAGATCTCAAAATTAATATCTCTAAAATTAAAAAGTATAACGAGCACTTATTTACCTCATTAAGTTTGATTAGTATTAATTAATTTTTCATTTAGTCATAGTCAAACAATTTTTTTATGGGACAGGGTGGCTAACGCGCTTAGAATTAATTATTGCTGATTTAGGAAAGCGGTGCATTTATATTATAGATACGGAAGTCATTAAGACAAAATTTATATTTTTAAAAATTGGACTATTTTAAATATTTTTAATGAAATGATTTTAAAAAATCCTTAATAATATATCTTATATATTTAACACTTATTTGTGAAGATGTTAAAATTAATCCGATAATGTTGATATGATTATCAAAAAGAATATTTTTGTTCCTAATTTAAATACTTTCTTGTTTATTTATAGAAAAACATTTTTGTTTTGATTTTGATTTTCTATAGGTACGAATAAATCATTAAATTTGGTTCACTGACGTAACGTATAATTTCTATAGTTATAAGTCTCTGAACGATTAGCAACATTTTTAAGAATTTTTCATGTATTTTACATAACTTAATTAATTCTATTTTTAGGCCGCTTTGACCCTTACGGATATGACAGTTGTGTGATGGCGCGAATCCATTCTATGATCGTTGAGTTGCTTTTGGATGAGCCTCGATCCCAACTCCTTGGATACACGCATGTGAATGACGAGGCTGGTATGCAGATGCCCCACGTGTCATTATGGTCACTAAGTGATGTCAAAGTCATGCTCAATTGTATACAGGTAAGATCTGTGGTTATGACTTTGTTTATATGAAATACTTTGACTACGGACATTGTTATTAGGTATACTGGCATTTGCATGCATTCAGTTAAATAGGTTAAATGTATAAGACCTGTTCGATTAGAGAGTAATAAAAGACAATTTAAACGTGTTTAACCCATACCATAATTTAAAATTATAATTCCTCCAATTTTCTATCTTATCTTAATAATGTAATCTACGTTTTGCAGAACTCGACGCCAATGCGCCACAAATGCACGCATTTCGTCAATATTCCCCACTATGGCGTCAAATTCTTCGAGTTTGCTGTTTCTTTATTGAGCGACAAATTAAAAGATCGTGTTATGGTAAGTTGTTGTGTAATTAAGAAGTAAGCAGGGGGAGTTACTTCTGTGAAAATAATTTATTTACCACGGATCTCCACTTGCTACGGTCCTGACATACCTCTCTCGCTTCATCCACTTTCACAACATTTATAATGCATTCTCGTCGGTAATGGAAAAGTAAAATTTTGTGAACAGAAAACACCTGAAAAAAAAATTAAATGTCAAGAAATATTTAAATCGAAGGCACAGTATTTTACTGTCTGTATCTCGTGCGAGCTCCCTCAAAACATAATTATAGTAGTACATAATTTATAGTTACTTTACAATTTTCATTAAAACCTTGAACATTAAACATGCGCAATTTATATTTCGCGCCTTTAGTTGTGCTTATACCCTCAACCCAGAGTACCACTATATTATTTTATATATAATTTTCCATAATTATTTAACTACATACCTTTATATTTAATTAATTTAATATAATATAATAACTTTTATATCAAATTTATCAAAATTTAATTTTCCCCCACACTTCCCTTTCTTATAAACTCTACTAACCTTACCTCATCAATCAAACTAACTTCAACATATCATAACATAGTCTTATTTTAAATTTAATCAATATGTATACTAATATAGGAAAATTGGATACACTACCCTTCACAAGCACACAGAAAGGTCTTTCTCTACTTCCAAATTAAATCGTGGCTAAGATCTTCAATGGTTGAAATCCCTAACACTGGCACTTCTCCACATTCATAAAACGTACCCTTTGACGTAATGACGTAATAAGCGTTTCGGGAAAACACGTTAAAGAAAAAATTGATTTAGTTATTAAAATATATGTATTTTTGTCTGTTTCTATTTAGTTTGATGGAATCCCTTGTCGTACCATCTCTTCACTTTTGCGAAGTTTAGCGTAATAACCCTCGACATACCTCTAGCTGTTATGACAAATCATTCACCACGGTTATGTAATATAAATAGGCTGCCTCATTCCGTACGTGATAGTCAGGCCGAGCTAAGCTCAGAGCTGAGCTGTAAAGGCCCTAAAGGCCAACAGCGAGATTTCAAACAAAAAAAAAATACGTATAGTGTTTCTCTGGTTGTCTTCAAAGAAGATGGTAATGTGTAGTGTTACAGGTTGGTCCAACTAGTGACGTAATAAATTTTTTTAGATTCCTCCACCTGGGGAACGAAAATACCCCATGTATGTTCCGCGATTTTTGTAGTTTCGAGTAGCTTCTGGCTAAGTTTAAAAACTCCTCAGGGTTCTAAGCTACCAAAATCATAGAAAAAAAATGGTACTTAATTGGTCTTTTTTTGTTGTAATCGGTGGATTTTTTTTGTGGATAGGCTAAAAATCATTGAAGCATTAAAAATGTTTTTTTTTCGACTTTTATTATTCTTATGGTAAATTAAACATTATAATGTGGTTTTTTAATTAATTTTAATACCCGTAAAATAAATGTAGCTGTAATCGGCCTTTTAATGTGGATAGGCAAAAAATCATTGAAGCATTAAAACTGTTTTTTTTTTTTAACTTTTATTTTTCTTATGGCAAATGAAACTTTACGATCTATTTTTTACTAATTTTAATACCCGTTAGCGATTTTTAGCCTATCCACCTTAAAGGCCGATTACAACAATAAAATACCAATTAAGTACCATTTTTTTTCTATGATTTTGGTAGCTTAGAACCCTGCGGAGTTTTTAAACTTAGCCAGAACCTATGAAAACTTCTTTTTGTATTTTTAAATTGAAGTCGAATGTTTGGACAAATCCAGCTAAAAACTAAACTTCTAACTTTAAAACCTTTTTTGAGTAGCTTTAACTAATTATAGGAAGCTGAGATTTTTTTTTATTTGAACAACATTTAAGACAATCATTTCACAGAAAAAAAACTGCAAAATACCTACAACAAAAAAAAGATAGGAATTTTTGAAACCTCGCTGGCAGAAAACATTCAAAAAAACACAAAAAAAATTATAACTCGAAAACTACAAAAAATCACGAAACATACATAGGGGTATTATCGTATTCCCCAGGTGTGAGGAATCTAAAAAAAAATTATTGATGTCACTAGTTGGACCAACCTGTATGTACACAATATTATGTGTTAAGTTTTTTAAGTGTACAATAAAGAATAAATATTTTTAATTGCAATACTTACGTACATTAATAAAATACCTACTTTTTACTTGTATCTATTGTTATCAAAATTAAATTATAAGTTCTTGACTTGACCACGACTATGTGACCCCCTCCTGGCGCCAAAGCTGGATCCGCCCTTAGTTACCATAGAGTATAGGTTAGTTGTTCTAGAAAGATGGGGTCGAGACAAGCCAAAAGGGTTGCCAGATGAGCTAATAACAGATTTATGTGGTTTAATATTGTTAAAAAAATCTTATTTATTTATTTTCAGTTTCACCGAAATACCGACGATTTGAACAAACATGTTGATGCCTCAATACTGCCCAAAGAGTACGGAGGCACCGTTCCTTTGAAAGACATGATCGAAGAACTAAAACGCAAGTTACTGAAGCATAGAGAAGACTTACTTGCTCTTGATGACTTGTGTATAGATTTACATGCATTAGGAAAAAATGATTTGACGCAAGATATACATTCTACTGCTGGTTCTTTTAGAAAACTTGAATTAGACTAGGTTTTAATCACTTAAAAATCCTACTTCTATACATTGTGTGGTATAAGTTTACTTATGTCTATGAGATAAATACATTTAGGAGTTTTTATTGTTGATTATATGTAGTTGTTTTCTGATCAAAACCTAATTCAGATATGTTTTGATATAGCGTTTTAAAGCAGGCTTTAACGAAATATAACATATTTTTATAATAATTAACAATGAATCCTTGTGATATTTTTTGAAATTATAGCTGAAACATTGACTTTTTAGTAATGTAAGTTTAAATATGATAATCAATATAAAAAACATAACAATTGTTTTACTTGACATAAAAAAAATATGAAACAGTTTACTTGCCAGCTGCATTCATTGTGAAATAAATTTGTTCAAGTTAAGTAAATTTACATTCAGAATAATTATAGACACATTAAGATCAGGTTTAGATCTCACTTTTTAAAATTAAGTTGTAATATTGTAAAATTATAAAGTAAATTGAAAAAAAAAATTGGTTGACTATGGTATTTACGCATTAATTTAACTAATAATTTGTATTATTTTGTTAAATTTACAACATAATGTATTAACCTATAACTAAGTTTTTTTTATAAAGGGGAAATGGTAGCCCTCGGTGGAGTCACGTTACCACTAATGGATTACAAAAAGGAACGAGGCAATTTTATTTTGATGACAATGATTATAATATGATATATTTCATGGATATTATTAACGCATATTCTATGCAGTATTCTATTTGCTATATTACAAGTTTTAGTTATATTAGTTATTTATAAGTTATTTTTGCTTGAATAATAAAGTTAATTTCTGGAAAATACAGTTTTTTACTCACCTTGGACGGTCTGAATGTAATTGATTAAAATATCCTTGAGTACTGTGGAATAACGCAAGCTAGAGGTTTAAAATCGTATTATCCTAAGTAGTGAGAAATCGAGACGAATGATCTTACAGCTACGCACGTCATTCAATAAAATTGTGAACTATATCGGGGGTAAGATCTGTGATCGGCTTCAAATCTGATTACGACACCACCAAGCTATTTAAAAAGATTTTAGTTTTTGACACATAATATTGGGGTTTTAATACACGTGAGGAAACCCACAATGTATGCCTTCACCGTAGGAGCAAGTATAAATTACGCACATAGAAAGAAATCCATCCGTGTTTAAAACATACGACCTCTGTCAACCACTGAGCCTGAGTGGTTGACAGTCGCAAGCTTAAGTCATTAGGTCAACACTTCTGTTAAGAATTAGATTTAAAAATGGCGCACCAGGCCTTATGACGTACCTTGTTTGTAAACACATAAACAAGTCATAATTTTAAGAGTTAATTATTATTCTTAAATCGCACAAAAATATATAAATAATTGACAACCTGTGGTGAAATTAAATAAATACTCCAAGACAATATTGAGATTAGGCAGATGAAGACCTTTATAATTATTTACCAACAATATTTTTTACTCCTTAACGCTGTCTAATGTAATTTTTTTACATACTACTCTTTATAAAAATATTTTTCATACTATCAAATCGCCTGTTGGACGGAATACAGTTGGTATGTTGCCAGTACAAAAAATAAAAGACTTATTTTCGTGGTTCTGGATTTTTGAACGAAAAGCATAGACACGACAGCTTTGATTTGCGACAGCAATGAGAAGTAGCTAACTTCAAAGTAGTTTTTCCCGCAGTTTGGCGTCCACCGATCCAAAAAAATTTTGATACGTTTTTCTACTTTATTTAGATCAATGAAACATTTGCTAGTGCTATGATTTGTTTCTAAGTGCATGTTTTATGAACTGATTATGTTATTTCGGTGATTGTTTCGTTACATTAGACTTAAATAGTTGATTTTGTAAACATCGGGAACACGGAGCACACGTCTATGACTTCTTGTACGTATTTGTGCCATTTTCACTGTATTTTTTTCTGTTATTCGATAATTGTATATAAAAATTTAACTAGTATCATGTTCCATCACATGTTTTCATTATAATGCCATAGGAAATCTTGTTGAGAGTTCTTGAAAGATGTGTTTGCAGTCATTGCTAAACAAATATGTTTTGTTAGTGTCGAACATGACAGATTACGAAAGCCATTATTGCATTAAATGTGCTTCATATGCTTAAATTTCAAGCATTTTATATTCCAAACTGATGACCGACTCGGATTTTCATAACACCTACTAGTGACGTGTAGCATGTCTGTTGCCAAACATGCTGTTTAATAAGGATCAAAATCCTTATAGTACTACATATTGACACCAACTGAATTTATACAAAAGTGTTGTACAAACACAATATTTTGGTGCATCATCGCACAATAGCTGTCTTTGGATGTCCCTTACAATTATATTTTAGCCCGATGTCTGTTAGAAAGAATATGTTAAATTTGATAAAAATCATTACTAGTAACCATTAGTAGTTGAAGTATATTTAGATATGTTTTACTAATGTTGATAGATGTTAAAATTTATTTAGTATATTTCTATGACTACAAATATCACGTAAAATAATTTAGGGCAACCAACTTATAGCATTTTTTGAAATACATGTAAGAATAAGCCTTGCATGCTAAACAAGGCACCCGCTCTGTGCATTTTAGTCATTTCCACTCTATAAAAACTTTACTTGACAACTGTCCAGGATATCATTTTTAGAGTTATGATAGTAATGATTGTGCCAGACTATGTTACTGTGCCTTTTCTGTGTAAGATTAACAACACATCTTCAATTATAAAGTAAATTTTATAATTGTGCCGTGACAAAGATAGATATTGCCCTATAAATTATCCTGCATAAGCCATACACTTGTAGTTTGGATGCTACAAGGTTTGTATGACCTTGAAGCAAGAACATACCCCTTTTAAAATCCTCTTAACTGATAATGACTAATGAACTTTGAGACAGCTAAAGTTGTTGTTAACACTTACATAACAAAATTTAGTGACAAAGAACAATTAAGCTAAAATTATTTTAATCATAATGTATAAGTTCTATAATTGCACAGTAAACATTAATTAAATTGATACCTATGAGTAAAAATATAGTGAGTTATTTCTTGATACTTGAATATACATGAGTAGTTTTGGATATGTCTGATCTCATACATACAACTTCATACCTCCTTATATACATGGTATCTACTATCTGTAACAATATGTGCCATTTTTATGTGCATATTTCTTATCTGGCAGTCAATAATTATATTAAGTATGCCTATCTTGTAATTCCATACTTAATATAACTAGATTTTATGATAACTAATATAGTTTCATCTAAAAATTATTAAAGCATTGAGGTACTTTACATTGAGTCATAAAATGAAAATAAAAGTAAATATGTTATATGTATGAAGCTACTAATTAATCTAACAAGATTTAAGTAAATGTTAACACATAAATATTAAGCATTCAAATATCAATGCATGGCTTGCAAAACTGATTAGCAAATTAGGTCACATTTCTAAATTTTAATCTATTACCCCTAAACTTACAAGTGTATGGTTACTTTTGTTTTAAATGTAAAAAATAAACAAGAATAGAATCTAGAATATTAATACATAATATTATCATCAATACAATTGTTTAGATATTAGAAGATTGATATACACAAATTAATAAAGAAATTTTGGAAATAAAATACTTTAGATTGGTCTGACTTATTATAACTTATTATGACTTTAATAGTCTTAATAGCTATTTAATAGTATTTATACAGGGTGTTCACTGCTTAGTAAATCACACCGAAGGATTAGGATTGATTAAAAAATTATATAAATAAACTCAGCATTATATTCAGCCTAAGCTATTATGTAGAAAGTAATTGAAGAAGAAACTATTATTTATATTTTATGCAATGCAGATTGGCAGCATGGCGGAAATAGTGTACCCGCAAGGCTGCCGCCCAATAACCGATGACCTAGGTCCGGATGAACTTGTCCGAAGACTTAAGGTAAGCTATTACTTATGACAGTCACATGTATTGATGCTACAAATGGTGTAAACATTTTATATTGTCATAGCCCAGTCTTAGTTCTTCTTTTTAGGTTCCACTCTTACTTACAAAAAGTGCAGTAATGTCTCTGTACTTGTGTATGTTTTTTAATATAAAGCATATGAGTTATTGTAATATAATTCTGTATTAACAGCTGACACATCATTGCATTACGTTTTTAATAAGAATTCGCTTATAGCACTTTTAGGTAATGCATGTGCATGTGTGCCATTTGCATAAATAACACATTCGTAAATTAATTTCTAAAGATAAGCTTCTCTAGATTGTTTAAATTCATTGGGGTAAAAGGCGTAGAGCAAATTTACTGTGGTTTTTTATATTTTGATGACTGATGCATGTAAAAAGGAAAAGTGAGTGATCAAACTTTTAGTGCCTAAACAGTTATTCTTTGCCAGAAAACGAAAGTGACGATGGCAGTATTAATGCTATGTGATCTTAATATGGTCTTAGCAGAATCTAATGAAAAACTATAATATTTGTATATATTTGATTAGCCTGTTCATGCATAGAGGCTCAATTGTTTATATAAATAAGGTAAAGATGAAATGACTATAATAGATGGAAAGACTTCGAAATTTTTAGTAGGAAAAGTTGCTGGTGTGAGGCTATTTCATTTCACATCTGTGAAATTTTATGAACTAACTAGCTGACCCGACATACATTGTTTTGCCATGTAAAGTATTTCTAAGAAACATTGTTTTAGTTCAATAAAAATAGCTATCTGCTATAATAAAAAATAGGGGTCGATCGTAGAGGGGTGAAAGTTAAGGGTTGTATATATTTTTGTATGTTGTATCATAAAAAAAAATTGTCTACAAAATAAGTGGACATCTCAGACTTACTGAATATGCATAAATATTTTCATAAGAATTGGTCAAGCCGTTTCGGAGGAGTATGGGAACGAACATTGTTACACGAGAATTTTATATATAAGATTTATAAGTGTGATTGTTTAATAATACTTACATACTTGCGGAACGCTTGCGGTACATTTTATCCTTATCAGGGTTGTGAACCAACTTATAATAATATCACATTAATTTCAGGCGCTCGCCCACACCTTACAAGGTCTTGGGCAAGATGAGGGCATGTACCAACAGTATATACCACTGGCATTACACCTGGCCGATGACTTCTTCCTCTCACACCCCTCAAGGGATGTGCAACTGCTTATTGCTTGCTGCATCGCTGATGTGTTGCGAGTATATGCACCAGAGGCACCATATAAGGATCAGGAACAGGTAATTTTTTTTTAATTTATATTATTTATACAGTTTATGATTTAAACATATCTTACAGTATTTATTACTCGATACTAAAACAGTGCACAAAATAATAACGCACAATTTAAATTTAAACATAACCATAACACAAGTGAAACACAATAAACAAATCTAGGCCTTATACATTTTTATATATATTTTCCGTCATAAAATATTAAAATGTAAAATTTAGTTTTGGTTATGTTTATTGTGTTTTTTTAATATAATTTCAATTTAAATTAATTTTAAATCCACGACAGCTGCAATAACAATAATTATGGACATGTCGATTTTAAAAACAGTAATTACCAAAATGTTGGCCTAGTGGCTTTAGCGTGCGACTCTCTTACCTGAGGTCGTAGGTTCGATCCCCGGCTGTGCACCAATGGACTTTCTTTCTATGTGCGCATTTAACATTTGCTCGAACGGTGAAGGAAAACATCGTGAGGAAACCGACATATCTTAGACCCAAAAAGTCGACGGCGTGTGTCAAGCACTGCCCTGCGATTCTGTAACTCACTTTTCGAACTCACACAGCGGTTTTCGGATCGGCGGTCGTTCTCAAATCAGTCGTGAAGCAGTCATTTTATGATTTGGCATTCTGAGAAGGTTGGAGCTTGTAGTTTATTGTTTATTAGAATGCCAAATCATAAAATGACTGCTTCACGACTGATTTCAGAGCGACCGCCGATGCGAAAACCGCTGTGTGAGTTCGAAAAGTGAGTTACAGAATCGCAGGGCTGGAGGCTGATCACCTACTTGCCTATTAGGTTTAAAAAATGATCATGAAACAGATTCAGAAATCTGAGGCCAGGATCTAAAGAGGTTGTAGCGCCACTGATTTATTTATTTTTAATTACAAAAAGAGCCCATTAAGAATATGTTACATCACGCATACAACAATTAACTTACACAAAATATGTACGGTCTAGGGGAAAAGCCGGATAGTTGCCCCACTTTTCGAAAAAACTTTATATTTTTTAAATATGAACTTGCTGAAAATTATTTAGTATGTATCTCGCAACATTGGTCTTTTATCTTCTATAAAAGCCCATTTTTGTATACATAATTAACAATGGTTTTGAATAAATACTGTTTTATTTCACCTCTCAGAAAAGGGATAGTTGCCTACTATGGCGGATAGTAGCCTAGCGTAGAAAATGCTTCGGGGGATACTTGCCTCGTGCGTATTTATTTTGGATAGAAATAAATTTATATCAATTAGAGTAATCTTTATTATTTATTTAACAGTCTTTATAATTTACTGAGATATTTTATTAAGTACAATTTGAAATATTAAGAAACAACAGTAATTTTTCTCCTTTTTCACCGGAAGTAACTGATTTAACTGCTTTAGCACCTTTCTTAGCTAATACTTTACCAATTTTATTATTGAGTTGGACACCGCTTTCATCCATGTTAAATATTTTATCTGGCTTATCCAGAAAATTATTCTCAGTTAAAATAGTTGTCAAGAGTTTGAAAAAACTTCTGTTCTGTTGTGACCCTTCGCTCTTTCAATTGATAAACCCTCAGCTTGTCTCAAAGTTATATCAGGATTTTAGCCATTGAGGTCCAGCCATTTTACTTTCATTAATAAAGTTGTGCTTTAATCCCAACTTTGTCTCAATTTTTCGAAGGCAAGTGTTAAGCTATCTTCTGTTGATGAGGCATTTTGCTTATCTATAATAAATATATAAAACTGTGAAGTAGATATATATTTAATTTACAACAAGTTAGAGACAAAGTAAATTCGAATAAACACAAAAAAAACAGCAAAAAAATAAAATCCGTCTTTGCTTGTTAAGAAATGTTTAGTCACTCTAGGGGCAACTATCCGCGACAGTAAGCAGGGCGACTATCCTTTTTGATGCGGATACTTGCCCTTTTTATTTGCGAAATAAATAAAAATTATTTAGCAATAAAACATGATAAACAGTGTAATTTAAACTCTAATGCATGCAAAGAAACAAAAAGTTGACTGAAACCACGATCAGTAATAAAAATATTCAATAGAAATTACTTACCAATATAAATATAACGCCCGTCAAAGTTTCGGCGCGGAAGATTTTTGCTTACACGTACAAAACACTTGGGCCTATTCCGATGGCTTACGTGGCATTTAGGCCTGAAGGGCAGTCACTACTTATTGTAGTAAAGCGCCAATACAAATTATAATCTTAACATAGTTTTTTAAACACCGGGGCATGTATCCCACCGAGGCAACTATCCGGCTTTTACCCTAATTATAAACATTTAATACATAGTATAAGTGGATATTGGAACTAAATTAAGTAATTATCTACAAAGGAAATACAAATATAGAAGCTCGCACAAAATAGTCCCATTCATGTTTGATTAGTATTACTAGTTAATTAATTCATAATTTCGAAGAAAAGAAAACATCAGAAAGTTGAAGGCTTTGATTTCAATGAAATGTTTTAGGTATTCCACGACGGTTATTTGTAATTATTTATTTATTTAATTATTAGTTATCTAACAGCTAAAAGTTATATTATAAAACAAAACACTTAGACAATATAGAAAGCCAAAACCGAGTACATAGATATACAATATATATGAAACAGAAAAGAAATAAAAAATCAGAAATTTAACATTTAAAACAACAAATAATACTTAGTATTTCAAAGAAAAAACAAGAGGGTTACTGCTTAAACAAAATTAAAGTCTTCCCGCATTCCCTTCAAATCATTTCCTTCCTTCTTCCTTCCTTCTTCCTTCCTCGATGGTACCTATGTCTATCTTTTATGGATATCCCACAATAACATTTTTTCAACATTTTTGTTTGAAAACGTTCACAGTTTTTCTGTAGTGTATTTAGTATCAGCATTGGACCCGTGCGAAGCAGGGGCGGGTCGCTAGTCAACAAACAATCTTGCTATTTTAAAAGAGTACCGAGAGTTTTTTACGCCGGCTTTTTTTATCGGCCTACACCCTCTGTCTTCTTTGCCGATGAGTAGGGATGTCTACCGATTCAAATTTAATGACGTGGAATACGTGATACCTGTATCTTATGTTCCATAATAAATATATTTTATTTTATAATGGTACAACTAATTCCCACAATGTAAGTCGTAATATTATAGGAACATTGGCCGTAGGGTAAGATTCAGTAACGAACTTAGCGGATTTTTCGAATGGATCGTTCGGCATAGCACCAATGGCATGCTAAATCATAAAGAAATAATATTTAAACGTTGGTCTCCTGTCCATGTCCTCCTATAGGAGTTTTCTGTTTTGTTTATTAACCAATACTAACAGCAACAAAGACCGAATCGCTACTAAATAAAAATTACATATGGATATAATCTGAAATAAAACAAGTTATTACATATTATTATTAGCGTTATAACGTACATGTTTATAAGTTTCATTCTGAATCTTAGAGACCTAATCTATATACTAAGGAGTCTGGTTAGAATGTGAAACCAAAGATTACTGGCACGTTTCGTGTAATTGTGATTGGTTAATAGAATAACCTGCCTCACAAAAATAATATAAAAGTTCTGGGTCTCAGACTTCTGTTTCATGATCATCAATCTTATAGGCTAGTAGGTTATCAGCCTCCTGTGCCAGACACGCCGTCGACTTTTATGGTCTAAGGCAAGCCGGTTTCCTCACGATGTTTTCCTTCACCGTTCGAGCGAATGTTAAATGCGCACATAGACAGAAAGTCCATTGGTGCAGCCGGGGATTGTTCCTGCTACCTCAAGGATGAGAGTCGCACGCTCAAGCCACTAGACCAATACTGCTAATATAAATTTAAAATAATCGAATCTTATAGAAAATTGAAAATTTTTCAAACTATTGCTAAATCTTTTATATTTGTTATAAAATTATTGATACAATATATATGTTTAATATTCAGATAGGAATATGGGTTTAGTTTGCCATTTAAAATATGGTTTTTACAACTTAAACACCATAAAAGTTAATTCCAAAGAAATTAAATAATGATTTAAGAAAAGGGAAAAATGAATGCAAAGTAATGTGAAAAGCCGAGCATTCAAGACCTGTATTTTAACAATGATAAAACTAGGTCGTTGCAACTGAATAATAGAAATAAATTATCTGTATAGAAAAATGTTACTTATTCCTATTGTTTTAAAGTATATAATAATGCTTGATGGTATAATATTTTAATTGAAATAACTAAGGATCGATAAGGAGGAAAATGTATGGAATAGACCAGTATGTACTACGATTTACGGATAATAATCTAATACTTTTCCTTGTGGATCTATCTATAAGGGCAGTCCAAGGGCAGCGGTAGGCATTTTTGATGTGAAACAACATGCTTGTTTGCCGCCTGTCCTAAAAAAATAAAAATAAAAGCTATCCTCCCCTATGTTAAGGGAAATATTGATAGTACATTTCTAGACGTAATGTTAAAATTACTCAAAAAAATAAAAATTATACTCTTAGTAAAGAATTTTTTCTTTCTTAATAAAGAAAAATTCTCAAGTAAATTATATCTTCCCGTAAAACATTTATAACTTATGATGGACTTTATGTGACGAATAGCGCTATCTGACAGTCGTGAAACGCAACAATAGTGTTTATTCTACCAATAAGTAATAAATAGCTTATTGGGAACTTATGTAGAACTTATCCGTACATTGTGAAACAGACCCTAAAGGTTTCTGGACTATCTAGCCCGAATTTCTTACTACACAATTTCAATTCAATGTCAATTTAGAATTTTTATCTTTCAATTTTTGAACTTAGCCGTGTTGGCCTAGTGGCTTCAGCGTGCGACTCTCATTACTGAGGTCGTAGGGTCGATCCCCGGCTGTGCACCAATGAATATTCTTTTTATTTGCGCATTTAACATTCGCTCGAACAGTGAAGGAAAACATCGCGAGGAAACCGGTTTGCTTTAGACCATAAAAGTCGACGGCGTGTGTTCAGTCAGTGATAGGAGCCTGATCACCTACTTGCCTATTAGATTGGCAAATGAGGATGAGGAACAGATACAGAAATCAGAGACACAGACCTAAAAAGGTTCTAGAGTCACTGTTTTTATTTCTATGCTGGTATGGCGGCCATTTGGAACCGTCCGAAAAGTATGGCATGGTGATTTTCGTAAATGGCTGCACGACGATGATTAACTGTGCAAAATTTAGCCTGGTACAAATGGTTGAATTGTTTTTAAATCAACGCATTCGCGTCGGTATGGCGGGCTATAAGTCACACGGGAGAAGTATGGCATGACACTCCCGCCTCTTATTTTTTATGGACTATGGGAAAATACTAGAATTTTTGTCGAACAAATCGTTTGAAAGTCGTAGTTAATCCGACGAGTTCGACTAACGCTCACGCGCTTGGGCCGCCGGTACCAGCGCTATGACCATCATTTTTCTTTTTTTCATTTCGTAATAAGACCCCTGAAGAACCGCCATACTGGTACAAATGACCCACTATTTTGTGTCACTATCTCCCGGCCTATAATCATCACTCTCATACATTTACTAATGACTTATCATTATATGACATTTTTATTGACTTATTATTATTAGTTCTAAGTAAGTGAATCCGCGAAAACCAAAGCCGATATTTTAGTCACGTTTTATATAAATGTCAATAAAAAACACGTTATAACTTGTCTAATTGCAGGTCAAGACGATATTCCTGTTCCTGATCAATCAGTTACAAGGTCTAAAGGACCCGAAGGATCCAGCGTTTAAGAGATACTTCTATCTTCTGGAAAACCTGGCTTATGTGAAGTCATTTAATATGTGCTTTGAACTTGAGGACTGCCAAGAGATCTTCTGCGCACTTTTCTCGCTCATGTTCAAAATTGTTAAGTAAGTAATGGTTTTTAGAACTGACTTTCGAATTGCAGTTAGTTGTATTGCTATATATTCTTTGCCAAGGTCCCATTACTGTACCGTTTATAATTATTAGCATAATTTATTAAGCGTGAAGGTCTTGCGACTGATTAGACTTTATTGCACTAGAACAAAATTCATTAAAATCGTGAGAGTCTTTTGAATAAAGTTATGGAAGACTAACTTGAATTAGGAAATCCTATTTTGGAAAAATCTACGATATCGTAATGAACAACAATTCAATTCAACAACAGAATGGCAGGACCGATTTGGCTAAATATGATCTTTAATTATTTGTGGAAGTTCAGGGAAGGTTTAATCTGTGGAAAACATAAGTAATCAGTAAATAAAAATAATACAAACAACAATAATAAAAAGAACATAATTTTCAATTAAAAACTGTCTATGTGAAAATATTTGTGCCTTTTGTCTTTTTAGAAATAAATTTTTTTCGCTTGGTTGTCATATATTTATTTAGATGCCTTCAGAAATTTGTATTTCATAGCTTTAGTATGAAGTCCGATCTCTTTGATCTATTTAAAAAAAATATATTTACTTGTGACACAAATATATGTAGGTTATAACAAGGTCACTGGGTCATGTAGTTAAATAATATTTACTAACTGCATAATGAACAAGTAAACAATGAAATTTCCGATTAATTTACGTGATAATTGTATCTCTCCTATTAATTTACGTGGTCACATTTATAAACTCTATTTCCAACAAAAATTTTTTTATTAAAAATTGTCTTTTAATATGGAATTTTAAATCATTATTTGTGTTATAATTTGCATTTATTAACAATTTTAATTATGGTTGCCTGGAGGTAATTAGTTAGAATCGATAAGGCCGCCCGTTGGACCATGCAGTTGTTTTCGTGAACTGTAAATATAAAATAATGAATGTGGATTTTTATTCTATTAGATTAGATAAATAATTCTTGTTTATTAAGTATTATTATATTGCACCAACAGCTCAGAACACTCATCCAAGGTGAAATCCTTCATGCTGGACGTCCTCTGTCCGCTAATCACAGAATCGGACGTTGTCTCAAACGAGTTATTAAATGTCATACTAATTAATCTAGTGGAGCCCAATAAAAGGGATAACAAACATGCATACGCACTTGCTAAAGAACTCTTGGCTAAGACTTGTGACACCCTGGAGCCATATATACAAGCGGTAAGTGTTGAAATACTTGTTCTCGGATTCAAATTTGTATTTGGTTTGTTAAGGGTGCACTTTGTATGTTAATTTTGTACCTTAAATGAGCTTTTTAAGAACTATCTTCATTCAGATATTTTATTAAAAATTGTAGTGTAATCAATTTGCATTTATATCTGTTAAATTATTAAGTTTATTATTATAGGTAGCTTTGGAGCTATTAACCGTGATTTCTTTTTCAGTTTTTCAACCACGTTCTAATCCTTGGCAAAGAAGAAAAAGGTCTTCTTATATTTTCAAAAGTTTATGAATTAATTTACGAGTTAAATCAGTGCTGTCCCACGGTCCTACTGTCTGTCCTCCCACAGCTCGAATGCAAGCTAAAATCGGCTCAATTCCAAGAGCGGTTAAGCGCTGTTGCCTTACTGGCTAGAATGTTCTCTGAACCCGGCTCGGAACTTGCCAAGCAATACCCCGCTCTATGGCGGGCGTTTTTAGGTCGATTCAACGATATCTCAGTTCCAATTAGAATCAAATGTGTCCAATATTGTATGCATTTCCTTGTCCACCACCGGGATTTGAGGCAGGATATCACAGATACGCTTAAAATGAGACAGCACGACGCTCATGAGCAAGTGCGGTACGAAGTCGTTATGGCAATAATAGCGACCGCTCAAAGAGATTTCGAAGCGGTAGCCGAGTCTGAAGATTTACTACACTTCGTCAAAGAGAGGACTTTGGATAAAAAGTTCAAAATACGCAAAGAAGCCATGTCAGGTCTAGCAATGATTTACAAGAAATTCCTAACGGAAGACAGTGTACCTCCAGCAACGGAAAAAGCGGTTGAATGGATCAAAGACAAAATCCTCCACGGGTACTACATGACAGCTATCGAAGATCGACTCCTGGTTGAGAGGCTCCTGAACACGTCCCTGGTGCCATACACCCTCCCGCCGCAGACTAGAATGAAGAAACTCTACTATCTGATGTCGAATGTCGGCGATAATGCCACTAAAGCGTTTATTGAATTGCAAAAACACCAACTGGCGGTGCGTAGGACGGTGGCTGAGTGGGTGGAGTTGCACAGGAAGCCGCCGACCCCGCAGGTGCAGAAGGAAATGATAACTAAAGTGCTGCACATAAGCTCCAAGTTCTTGCCGGAGTCGGTGAAGGCGCAGGAGTTTTTAAATCAGTTCTCGGAGCATATGAAAAAGGCGCCGGAGTTGTTGCAGGGAATGGAAACGATTTTGAATCCGAATGTTAGCTGTGAAGTCTGTGTTCGGACGACTGTGAGTATGAATCTGTTTTTATAGTGATTAATTTGATAGAAATTATTTTGTTTCTATTTTTTTATACGTTATTTGCCGGCCAAGGTTTTTTGTAAGTAGGAGATAGAGGTATCTGATTGTCCTTGTAACATGTGTGAAGTTTGAGAGTAAAAATATTATTTATTGTTCCCACACGGTTCATGTGTAGGTAAATATTTTAGATTTGGTAAAGTTGTATGTTATTTGTATGAAAAATTTGCGTATAACAGTGAATGTCAAATTCTTGTCAGATGCTAGTTGCCATGGTTACGATGTATTTTTAGGCGAAGTTGTCAATTCGACTTGTAAATTTTTTACATAATTTTTTTTACCCTGATAACATAATAGTCCTTGGGCCATGTTCTACTTATTATAAAGACTATTTGTGCTTAATTATTTTTTTGAAGTCCCGAAATATCAAATAACATATTTCCTGTAAGTCTTAATTTAATAGCAAAGATATATGTGTCCTCTTGATTAAATCTCAATTTGTTCTATATCTCCTATATGACATTTTTGATATTTTTTTTCAGTCAAGCGTTCTTAAAAAGCTTGGTCAGCCGGTGATGACCAATATATACTATAATACAGTGAAAATGCTCCTTGAGCGAGTGAGTTCAGTGATGGTAGACCATGAATCTTTGTTAATCCTTGTCGGTTATGTGGAAGGTGCTGTGAGGGGAACAGATACTTCAATAGCTGAAGAATGTGGTAAGTATTTCTATAGACTCCCCACCTAATACACAATTACGAATAGCCATATAATTGAAACACATAATCATTCACCTAAAAGGCAGTTAACTAACAATGAACTAAACTAACTAAGATATAGTTCAAGTTAACGATTATCTAGTTGATAAAAGGGCCTGGGACTAGTGCTTGACAGGCTACTTCTAATTAATTTGCGATATTTGTTTTAAAATAAGTGTTGTTTGATGATTTGCTATTTTAAAAGAGTACCGAGAGTTTTTTTACGCCGGCTTTTTCTCTTGGCCTACACTCTCTGTCTTCTTTGCCGATGAGTAGGGATGCCTACAAATTCAAATTTAATGACGTGGAATAAGTGATACCTGTATCTTATGTTCCATAATAAACATTTTTTTTATATAAAATACATAAACAACAGAAGATTATCTACCTTATCTATAGGTTACATTTATTTATTTATTTAATTATAAGTAATCTTACAGCTAAAATACATATTATAAAACAAAACACTTAGACAATACAGAAAGCCAAAACAGATTACATAGATAAACAATAGATACGAAACAGAAAACAAATGTACAAGTACATTAATAGACAATACTATATAATGAAAACTGAAATTTAACATTTAAAACAACAAATAATACTTGATATTTCAAATCTCTGCTTAAACAAAATCAGAGTCTTCCCGCCTCTTCAAATTTACATTATACAATAATATACATTATTCTATCGTTTGGACCACACTAATTGAGTTTGTCCATTAATAATTCAGTATATAGTTGTGTTAAATTAAAGAGGTATTTTATTTATGCAAGTAGAACTCACTGATTTGTTGAATGTTGTTAATTAACCTGAATGCCTGTTAATGAATATACATAAATTAAAGACTCGAAGTCGATATTTAGCGCTAAGTTCATTCAGAGGAAATTGTGTCATCTCCAGTTTTTCAAAAACAATGTCTCGATTTGAAATGCATAATATAGTAGAGATTTTTAATTATACATTATATGTCTAATGTGTTGCTGAAATAATTATAGGTTTATTATTTTAAACAAAAGATATTTACTTAAATCATAAAAAACTAAATATAAAATGAAGTAAAGTAATTGTTCAATTTCCGAAAATAGAGTTTGTTATATAGTCCTTGAAAATAATTATTTTAATCAATTTCCCAATTTAAGTCTAAAAAAATCTAACAAAAACGCTTCTTGTAAAATTTCAAGTGACAAACCATGACGCGTCTTTTTACACAGACTAACGAACTCTTTACAATTAAATAAAACGTCAGTTTTGACACATGACAGATAATTAACAATCTAAAAGAAATATAACTATTTCTTCACATACACGGAACAGGAATATTTTGACATAATTTGCGTCTTTCCTTTTAAATTACATGATTACAGGAATCCGAATATCTCTTGCATAAAAATCAGACAGGTCTTCAAATAAACAATTTTGTCTAAAAAAAAATCTTGTCAATTACAGGTATAGACATACAAAAGGCCGCATCGCGCGGTCTCAAACTCATAGTGATGTTGTCGTTTGTGTTTCCGGCACATTTCTTACACGAGGACGTTCTGAATCGTCTCACTTCACTATTGGAGTTGGATGATGAAACTATAGCCCCACATATTCTCGCTGCGTTGACTTTCCTCGGGAAATATAGACCTTTGGGTGAGTTTAATTTATTGATTATTTCAATATTTATTATCGTTTATTTCAGTCATCGTAAAAATTATTAAAAGATAAAAATATCTAAAAAAAGGGTGCGTGTACTTATTCCTGTACAAAGGTCTTTATTATGTACCCTAGATCATTATTTATACTTTTTGGCATTATTTGGGAAAAATATAAATTTTTGATTCGGGGCATGCAAGGATTGTTTAAGGCAGTCATTCATAGTCAATAATATTTTCAGTATGAATTATATTCAAATAGATAGCATTTTGTCATTTTGAGTGTAGGCGCATATTACTAAATAATACATACGGAGTAGTTACTACCTCAATTGTATTGAAAGAACTTAGTGAAGGATTGGTTGAGCAAAGTTTTTCACAAATCATTTTCATAATATTAATTAGATTTAGAGATTTCATTCTGTTAAATAATTTGAATAACAGTCACGGTGACCAGTGCATCGATTAAAATTACACTCTCATAAATTCTCATCCAACGACTAAACGCCTAAACGCAAGTATAACTTACAAAAAACGAGAATGGCATGACGGCTCTGGACGATTACTTATTCCTTTTCTTTTTCGAAAGCGAGCCGCGTCTTTATTTACCCTAGATGAAATTATTTAACGTTTTAAAATAATTTGGGAAAATACTATATTTTCTATTCGGGAATTCAAACATTGTTTTAGAATGATATATATGTATAGAATATCTGTATGATTTTATTTACAGGTGAAGCATGCCCGACATTGTTTCCAAAATTGATAACATTATGCAAAGCTTATGCTGAAGTTGGAACACCGAAACAAGCCAAGAATGCCGTCAGGTATGTTTCTATTTATTATTTAGATATATTATCTATTCTATCTATCTAGTTAATAGCTATAGGACATGGGAAATGATTGGTTACAATTGAAACATTATTATTACATATATACAGTCAAAACCGTTTATAACAACATTGAAGGGACCGTATAGTTGCCGACGTTATATCCGATAGTCGTTATAAGCAATGTCATATACACAAGTAATAACGTTACGTTTATGTTACGCGTACGTTAAAGCCACGTATTATACGTTAACAAAAATGTTCACAAAAGCTTTTCCTTGTGCTATTTTTTATAATTTTAATATATGTTTTTGTAATAACATTGTTGTCTCCGTTCATATGGAGATATTATATACTACGCAAAAAATCTGTCAAATCATTTTTAGATATTCGTAGATTTAGAAGTTTTTGATGTGAAATTAAAAAATAATCCTTAAATTAATATTTATAACATATCATTATATATATATATATATATATATATATATATATAATTCAGTATGCGTAAAGCAGTGATAGTGTGTAAAGTTCAATTTAATTTATTTAAATTACTTTTACGCTGAATTTTAAAAGCGTATTTTTTCGAAGTAAACAACGGTTTATAAGATAGTTGAAGTTAGTCACTGACCTAATAACTATGGTAAGATTCAGAATAGATACACCGGCTAAGCATGACTCCATTTAATTCTATACGTTTTTGACTTACAAAAACAGCGTTTATAGTAGGTACTTACAAAAACAACGTTTATAGTAGGTACTTACAAAAACAGCATTTATAGTAGGTACTTACAAAAACAGCGTTTATAGTAGGTACTTACAAAAACAACGTTTACAGTAGGTACTTACAAAAACAGCGTTTATAGTGGGTACTTACAAAAACAGCGTTTATAATAGGTACTTACAAAAACGGTTTTAGTAGGTACTTACAAAAACAGCGTTTATAGTAGGTACTTACAAAAACAGCTTTATAGTAGGTACTTACAAAAACAACGTTTATAGTAGTTACTATATTAAATTACATTAAGGGTCTGTTTCACAATGTATGGATAAAGTACCAAATAGCTATGCACACATGAATTATTTGGAAGATAAATTGTCCTATTTGACACTTCATCGGACTCATAACTAATGATGTACTTTATGTGACGAATAGCGCTATCTGACAGTCGTGAAACACAACAATAGTGTTTATCCTACCAATAAGTAATAAATAGCGAAATTGAAACTTACATAGAACTTATCCGTACATTGTGAAACAGACCCTAAGTGCAAGTCATTATATTTATTTAACATTAGTACACGACCTCCTCCAAATTCTTCCACTTGTCTTTCATACTCGTCACATTTTTGCAATCCTTCCCCGCTACCCTTTTATTTCAAAGGGATAGCGGGGCATCATATTTTAACATACCTGAGTGTTCGTCCCAAGTCTTTCTGGGTGTGACAAATAATGGTGGTCCGTTACTAAGTATCGAAACGGTACTTTTAGATGTCTCTTCGTAAACGTTCCGGAGCAGAGGACACAGATATTCACAGAAATACTTGAGACGTTGAAGAGTACGCTGAATCCGCAGTCGGAGCACTACAGGACGGCGATAGTTACGTTGGGACATATTGCACACAATTTGCCTGATAACTTCCCTGTTCACATCAAGAATATTGTTTCTAGAAAGGTTAGTCTTATTGTTTTAGAGATAGTCCACGTTAAAGTCGCCAAGTAGCGTGCCATAGTTGTGAAAACAATGCATGCGTGTACTAGTGTAGATACGTAAGAAGTGAAACTTCTTTATGACCTTATTTTACGAAAAATGATCTACTATACGCAACTTTACAGAAATTGTTTAAATAAAGTTAACTTAGATAAAGTTTAAAAAGGCTTTTATTATCATAGATATGAATACAAATACAATTATTTCATTTTACCTTATTACTACTAAGATTATTACAGACTTTCATTAATTGTAATATAATTATTATTATTTTTGTTTTTAATATAAATTTTATGAATGCACTACACAGTTTTTGACATAAATAATAATGATTTAAAAGCATTATTTATATTTATAACTAAACATAATACTTTAATATTAATTAAATATAACGTTTAAAGAAAAAACTGTTTAACCGGATTGAAGTTATGTATTATTATAAATTTACAACTATTTAACATAATTTTAAATTTATCCGACGTTTCGCGTGCTTTACAGCGTGCGTGGTCACCGTGACCGTTTAAATGTGTAAAGGTTATGTAAATCAAAGACAATACTATAAATATAACGTGAAAAAAATTATCCAATATAAATAACAGTACGTTGCGGTAAGCCTGAAGTTAGTTTTCAGAGGTAGGCAAACTTCACAAACAACAAATCTTGCAACTAATCAATAAACTGGACCCGAAATAGCAGGACAAGAAAACAAAGATGGCGCCAAATGTGAATTACGTGACGTAATTTTTTTCCAACGCCGATAAAGAAGTTTCACTTCAATAATTCTCAACTAAACACAGTTTACGCTGATGTGTTCCCGACCTATAGCATCTGATAGCCCCTGGCCTTGTAGATGTCCATGGGCAGCTGTTATCACTTGATTCAAAGTGGCCTGCTCGTCGCAGCAATGGCAATGTGTGTCGTGATATTAAAAAAAAATATTAAAATCAAAAACTAATACATACAAAATTAACACATAAACATACAATAAAATATATTATTCATTTTATTCCAGATTGTAAAAGAGCTCTTAGTCCGCGAAGGTGGCGGCGGCCCCAATGCCCCACAAGGGGACTGGTGTTCTGAAGATGAGTTGCCCGAGGAGACCCGATGCAAGTTGGAAGGTCTCAAATGTATGGCACGATGGCTGCTGGGGCTGAAGAAGGATGAACTGTCAGCTCAGAAGACGTTTAGGATGCTGAACGCGTTCATCACGCATAAAGGAGATTTGTTGCAGGTGATGTTCGCATCTATAAAAAAAAACTGTGGCGCTACAACCTTTTTGGGTGTGAGCCTCAGATTCCAGTATCTGTTTCATGATCATTTGTCGATCACATAGGCAATATACATGACAAAAACGTTTTCCGGGTCAGGGATCATAAAATTGTATGAAAATATTGCCTAAGTCTTTCAATTATTTTCCTGACGTGAGCATAGAATGATAATGCTGGTACAAATATCCGATTTTCCGTATAGAAACTAATTCAGTATTATAGATTGTCCTAGGAAAGTTTAATATCGGACAGGAATTCTATCAAAATCTAAATATTACTATAAATAAAAACAATTGATTGATTTAAAAAAAAGTATCAACTGAATTGAAAAAATAACACTGAATCAATTTGTTGTTTATGGTAAATATGTTATGACTGATACACTTTTACTCCAGTATCTAAATAAATTTTATATTTAAACCGAAAATACAATTCTTTATATTATTCTTATGTCTTGAGATTTATTTCAAAGGTTAATAATTTTCACAGCAAAACCAGTTGTCTAAAGCGGAAATGGCGCACTTGAGGCTGGCTGCGGGCGCGGCCATGTTGAAAATCTGTGAACAGAAAGGAGTCGGGGATCAGTTCACCGCAGAGCAGTTTTATAATTTGTCACATCTTATTGTGGTATGAATATCTTTATTATCACGGGTTTAGAATTGTATGTTAATAGTCTGTAAGTCTTCCATGGTCCGCTTCACAAGACGACGCTTCTCTGGGAGGCACGACCTCCAACTATTTCAAAAAGAGCATACTCCCTGGCCTTTTTGTGCGTCCCGTATGCTAATATCAAGTTATTTTCTTTCTTTTTAAAAGAAAAAAAACATGTTGGGTTAACATTTTGACTTTAATTATTGGCTTTGATTTAAAAATTAAATGTAGAAGACTTTTCTAGTCTATTATGTCTGTTGGACAAGTTGTCTTTGGTCTTTTAATTAGCAAGTGTCGTGTAGGTATTTTACGTAAACAAAAATCCTATTCATAAATCTTATTAATTTACAATTCGTTGTAAGACATACAGTACAATTAAAATAATTAATTAAAAAGTAGAATTTATTAATAATAATAATTAATGAAATATTATAATTATATACTTAGTAGATAAATCTCATCAAAATTAAAACATAGTTTTCAAACACTTATCAAACTCATTTAGTGACTGAAATACTAAAATAATATTCTATTTCAGGACGATGTACTACAAGTCAGAGAAACCTTTGCTGCAAAATTACATAAAGGATTATCGAAGGTAAATAAATAAATAAATTTACAGTAAGTATATGAAAAAAATATATTATTAGTTTCAAAAGCTGGCAACCCACTTGCAAACCCAGGCTATAATAATTGGCAGAATTTAATTTCGCCCAACTCTGGTTTTTATAATAATTTTAAATTAATTAGGGCTAAGCATAGATATTTTTATTCCAGGGCATACCAAACAAATGCCTGCCTCTAGACTTCATGGGTATGTACGCACTGGCGGGCCGAGAGCCGGACAGACGCGTGCGGGGCATCATACGGCAATATATGCTAGCGGACGTAGTGCGGCGCAGGGAATACGTACGGAATATTACTATTGGGACCAAGGGTGAGTTATTTCATAATATAACATTCGTAATACGGGTAAGTGAGTGTGAATCTAATGTGTATGAAGCAATTTTTCTTTGACACAATCGATAATGCTTGTATGGAGTAAGAAATGATCCTAAAATATAATCCAAAATTGGCGTGGGTCACCCACAGGTGGCTTGGATGGATAGCGAATTTATTATTTTATAAAAAAGACGTAAACATCCAATTACGTCACAAGTTTATACTTGGAACTGGGAATGTTAGCGGCCATTTCTTTTGTACTAAAAACACACGACACTTTAACACACAAAAAAATGAAGTTAATAAAGTAAATCAAAAGCCTGATAGGTGGGGTCCCTGTTTATAAAGAAAAAAACACATTAAAAAAACTGTATTTTTTATTAAGAATAATTGTTGATTTTTAATTTTTTTGCTTCTATACACTGACACTATATTAATCTGTCGACTACAAAATGATCATATCTACGCAGATTAGTACACAATTAAGTAAGAGCAAAATTTATATAAAAAATACATAAAAAGCATTTTTATACTTGCAGTGGAGCAAGCAGTGAGCCAGCTTCCGCACATAATGCCGGACTACATGCTGGTGTTCGCTGTACCGGTGTTGACACACGACCCGACGTTCACCAACTACGATAATGTCGCACAGCTTAAGGTATATTCCGGCTCGAAGGACCAACCCTTTTAAGTAGAAACTCCCTGGTATGCAATGCCTATTCAAAGATCTTTGATTTATTATCTGGAAAAAAATGAAGTTTCGGGTTTGAAGACAAATTGTTGTACCCAGGTATCTGGGTCATGTTTGGTGTAAAACAACAAAACATGGTATTTATTTAGTATTCTTTTAACCATTTTATTTTTTTTAACTAAGGTTAGAAAACTTTAGTGAAAAGGTTTTTGGGTAATTTATTGGCTAGAACTAGTATTCACCTATATCATAATTCTTTAAATATTTTTTTTTTTAATTTAAGTAACCAACAGCTTATATAAATATTACGAAACCAAATGTATAATAATTAACAAAGAATTACCATGAACGGCCTACCCTAGTTAATTATACTACTTAATATTATTAGTGTATCTGTGCGTACATACGTAAGAGTATGTGTGACTATTTATTTAATATATTATTTTGTATATATTTTTTTATAGATAATAAATTAAAGAAAACACTTTTTTACCGGACACCACGCACGCTGTAAAGCACGCGAAGCGTTGGAAAAATTTAAAATTATGAAAAATTATTGTAAATTTATATATAAACTTCAATCCGTTAAAAAAATGTTTTCTTCAAATGTGTAAAAGTTATGTCAATAAAAGACAATACTATGAGATTAAATTAGTCAAAATATATTTTAATTTCATATCTGATGCCAGTTAATTCGGGCTTAAACCACGTTAATTTTTATAATAGCTTTATCCCGCTGGATGCTCCTTGAAGCTACTAGAATAATAAAAAATCACAAAAATATTTAACTAACATAAAAAATCTCAATTTGTGTTTATAGACGATGAAACAGTGCCTCTGGTTCATCCTGGAGCCGCTGATCACGCGAAATGACTTCTACTGCTACAGCTTCTATAAGAACCTTGTCGAGAAGATGAAATTACACAAGGACGCGCTGAATGAGACGGACGATAGTGTTAACTTTGTGAGTATTTTTATTCTTAATCTAGAGGACCCTACAGACGATGTCCTGCATGATATTTCAAGCGATTAGTATATTCAACAAAGTATTATAGTACCGACTGCAGCGCCATCTGCTGGGCTAATATGTGAATCCGGGGCGTCACCAAACGCATACAAAAAAAAAGGTTGCGTGTACTTATGTACGCGCGTAAGAAGTTATACTTCTTTGGCTTTCTTTATTTTTTTTAAATATAATTAATTAATAATTAATATTTAACGTAAACAATTTCATAATATTTAGTATATTATTCAATTATTAATTAATATTAATAATAATTATTATATTTTATTATATTATTCATTCAATTTAATAACTTGGTATGTTTCATAACCTTTTAACTAAGTAACAATAGGTCTTTGTGAAGAAGCATTGCTAAATTTCTTTGAAAATATAATTAAAACTCCTTTATTTGTTTAAAAGGTAAATGTCAAATGTCATGTATGGTCATTCAAATTTCTTGGCATAGCTGCTATTTTCACGCATATTCTATTTCTTTTTACTTGTAGATTGTCTTATTCCCATCTCTCTCTCGCACGCTTTAATCACACTGACAACTTTGTGTCACAGGTGCGCGCGCATGGTAAAATTTCCCTCTCATAAATTTTTCATAACGCGCCTAAAGAAGTATAACTTCAAAAATCATTCAAATCGGTCCAGCCCTACATTCTCTTTGACGATATTTGCAGCACGCATTCACTGTTATGTCAAACGCCATAAGGTTACATCAAAAAAGTTTGAATTGTAAGGTGGTTAAGTATTTTTAAATTTTCTAATTTTCGGCGCAATTTTCTTATTTTTTTTTCATAAGGACCGTCTGACAATAATAAACACAACATAAAAAGAATTACCGAAATCGGTCCAGCCGTTAACGCGTGATGCCGTGACCAAGAGAAATAGGGATTCATTTTTATAAATATAGATTAGCTGAACTATCGCTTTGTCTGAATATTATTTTATATTGGAAGGAATTGGTCTTAATGCGATATATCATAAGGTTTATAATTGTAAGGAACATTTTTAGTTTAATAAACCTTTTTTGTCCTTATATTGCTTGATAAACCTTGTAATTCTATCGTTTAATAAAAGTCCGATATTTAATAATATTTGTACTTAGAAGGTAGCAAGAGTTTTGTAGGGTAAAATTTTATAAAGTTGCCATTTCTAAAAAAGGGAAAACCTTTATAAATGGGATTTATGTTCTGGTGCTAGCTTTAAAATTTCCGATATATTTTTTTATGTTAGATAATAATTTATTTTAATTTTATAAAACATAATTTTTTGTTAATTTCAGAAATTATGGGCAATCTGTGACCTATCGATGTCCGTGATATGGTCTCGGTCCACGAGCTTCGAAATGCGAGAGTTCCCCTCGGACGTCCGCATTCCCACGATGTACTTTGCGCCTCAGAGCGAGTGCTTCGTTAACACGAGGGTCTTTTTACCGCCTGAATTACAGGTACTATATTAATTAAGATCAAAAAACAGACTTATTGCACCGTTTTAATTAAGAGCTCTCTTTTCATCACAGTGTAAATACAATGTGAGAGAAAGAGACGAAAAATATGTAATTAACATGAAAAAATTTTTTTTCAAAGTAATGATAATATCATATATGTATTTATATTGATATAAATACAGTAGAACTCCAATTATTCGAACTCCGACTATCCGAATCGCCGATTATCCGATCCGTGACCTGGCTGCCCGAAAACGGTTGAAGACCGCAAAACAGCTTACATTGACGGAGATGTTTAAAAAACAATGATTTTTATTTCTAAACTTGTACATAAGTACATTTTATTTATATTTAAAACATGTGAAAATTTCATGTTTCTTTCATTTAATTCAATAAAAAAATAGTGCAATATCAAAACGTAGCTTTTATTCTCTCCAGTGGCAATTTTTTTTAAAAAATCCGACTATCCGAATATTTGATTATCCGAATGGGTCCCGGTCCCCATTAATTCGGATAATTGGAGTTCTACTGTATATGTGCTCTAAGGAAAGCAAAAACAAACTTGTGTGTGTCAATTGCCATATTATCTGACAAAAAATCTGTATTGTATTTGTGTTTGTGTAGTGTATTTGTATCTTGAGAAATGGAATTAAACCGATATATGTGATCTATATTGCATAATCTTATTCTTACAATTTATTGAATAGTTCCAACCAAAACGCGGTCAGCAAATGGAGCACACAGTGGCGCCTCGTGGCAGAAAGAGAGTTCGGCCCATACAAAATAAAGAAGACAATTCTAACGAATGCGAGGTGAGTTGACTCTCTTACTTGACCCAAGTCTTTTCAGAGAGTAATAAATGTATTTAATAATGTGTGTTGAAGCATTTGTTACGAAATGTTGCTACTTACTACTTAATACTTATTATACTTTGTTGTTCCCTAATTCACTTTGTGTTGCCATTTATGAAATGGTCAGCTGATATTAGCAAGAATTTTTTCATCGTAACATTGTATTATCGTGAACTGAAATGGCAACTTTTGTGTAAAATTTTATAATTCCTTAAAGATCATATTACTGTTCGTATTATATGTCAACACTTACGCCTAGTTTCTAAAACAACAGTAAAAAATATAGTTTATAATACTAATTGAAAATGTTATTGCTAAAGCAATGATAACTGCAGTAATTTTAACATTGTAGTGGATTTGTTAAATTATGCGTTTCTGAGTTACTTAGGAATTGAACTATTATTGAATGGTTTAAATGGTATTTCTCTGGAGTTAAAACTTGACAAGAATTTCTATGTTTTCTAATCGATGTGTCAGTAATTAATTAATTTGATAGTTTACTGACGTTCAGTTGACAATTGACATTCATTTAGAAACTGTCAAAACTAGAGATAAAACCATAAATTTTGTTACCCATTCACTATTAGAGATACTGTTGCTATACTCCAAATATGACAACGTACTAACGAAAAATACTACTTCGCCAAATATCTGGAAGTTCAACGAATTTTCAATTTCCAATGTTACACAACTACACTATATTTTTAACGTCCATTTTAATTTAAAGTTCCGCTTCAAGAGAACAAACTGTGGTTTAAGCATAAACAATTATTCACGTTTAAATGCTTTAAAACTTGTAAATTAGTATACGTTATCGAATGCCTATCCAATTAAGTTTTACCTTACTTTTTAGTGAGGTTTTGAAGTTGGCCTAGTAGCTTCAGAGTGATTGGAGAATGTATTTTCTGTCTATGTGCGCATTTCACACTCGCCCGGTGAAGGAAAACATCGTGAGGAAACCGGAATGCCTTAAACCCAAAAATAGACAGCGTGTGTCAGGCACATAAGGCTCATTTTCTTGCCAATTAATAGAAATAAATGATCCTTAAACGTTTTGGCAACTACTTTTTTTAACTTTATAGTAAGATAGTTTGTCGATATTCAATGTTTATACCCAATCGGCTCTTTGGTGTGATGTCTTATCACAATTCAATATTAATTTTCTGGTAATGCGGTCGGGGGACGTGAACTTTTTACTTCGTAAATCTTTAGTAATTTTCATTCGTAGACCACAATTACAAAAATAAAACTCACAGTGTAGCCATAAACTTATACTCTGATTTTTAATTCCGTAGAATTCTGACATTTCATAAGTGTTGCTACTAAACAAGTTCTCCACCGAAAAAGGGACAAATTTGACCCATTTGAAGGCAATAAAAAATTAAATGCGACATATTTTTATGGTCTATCTAGAAAAAGGTGAATCTAAATATTTACTTAGTCAAGTGACCTAATACAAATATAAGAAACATTTCAATATCACGAACAATATATCGAATTAACTAGACTCAGATGTTCAGAATCGTATTGAAATTGAAAATAGTGCCTGGCCAAAAGGTTTGTCATCTCTGACATGTCAAAAAATGATAGCTGTCAGAATTCTACGGGATTAAAATCAGAGTATACTAGTTAATAAATAAATCGTACCAAAGGGCTGATTTTATTGAAATGATTATTGTTACAAGCTTGTCATTGGACGATCGGGGAGTATTGATGCCAAGGTAAATAGAAATGTAGATTTTTGGTTGGAAATTTGTTATGCGATTTGTTTTGAGTTGCATCCAATCTTGCTTGTAACGATTTTTATAATTTTCATTTGTAGTCAGACGCGGCTTTTTGCATGGCTGAACTGATATTTAAAACGTTTATCTGTACCCAATAGTACGTCTTTATAGCTAAAAGTTACCATTATGTGCTGGAAAGTCTAAAATAATATTAACAACAATAACACGTAATTGAATCCCCACCCCGCATCGTAACGTTTTACAAAACGATAAAAAAATTGGTTACGTAATACTTGAACGCTCCCTAATTGATTAAGATTGTAAGATAATTTCAAAGTCAATTAAAAATAGAAAAAACGTTAAATGATTTGGTTGTAATTTAGGGTCACGGCTTTGTTTAAAATATAGTAAAAAAAGGGTGCGTGTACTTGTAATAGTTTTTGATTGCATGCAAATAATTAATTACAATTATATAATCAAAGACTGGAAAAGGAGTCATTATAGTCAATAAAGTTCAGTTTACATTTGAAAAATTAATTAAATAAATATTTATTATTATTCTCTTACATTAAGTGTAACATAAATTCTATTATTATTCGAATGTTTTCATAACGCGCCTAAAGAAGTATAACTTCAAAAATCTTTGATTATTTTTATTCTCAGTTGTGGGCGCTGAACTTTTATTTATAATATGAATAGTCCAGACACTGCGAACAGAAACTTAAGTTACAGCATATAACACGATTTAGAGTGTTATTCAGTGTCAAAACTTATCGCGAACTATGATTCCCGTATGTCAAAATCCAACACGTTTTTGACAAACGCAAGGTTATGTGTATAGAGTCTGGCTAATGAAAGAAGATAACGAAAAAGCGCGGCAAAAAATTTAGTATGGTATCCCTAAAAGTTTGATATACATATTTTGTGGATTAAACTTACTTGATACTTGATTTTATTTTATTATTTTATATCAATATAGTAACTGTATTTCTATGAAATTAAATACTATACGTATTTTACTATTGATACTTAAAATGACTAGCATTGCATGGAAAACTAAAATTAAACTTTATTCGGAATAATCAAATCCTGCGAAAGAAACGAAATATTATTTCAAATAAAACAAAGTGTAGGCTATTATACCTTTTAACTATTCGGAAAAAATATATGATAGAAATAAAAATGAGTAATTGCATAAATCATACTAACTAGCCTTTAGAAATTCAATGACATTCTGTGTTGCCATCCGAAAGTTTACAAATAATTCAATTATCTTCTTTCATTAGCCAGACTAATAATGGTGTATGCTTGTTTTTTTTTAATGTAAATGGAATAAGTCGTTGTCCTAATCAAAGAAGATTTGTAAGAATTATGTGTCTTACCTTAATATTTTTGTTTCCAGCCGTCAGAAGCGTCAGACACACAGATAATAGTGCCAGGATTGGAACACCCGCCTGAGACTGATTTAGAAGAGCCACAGGCAAAGAGAATGGCTGACTCAATATTGGTTTGAATAACTTATTCAGTTTGAGTTCATCGCGATATATGTGCGGGCGCGGCTTAGTTTAAGAATTTAAATATATTAATTAACTATTTAATAATCCAGGACCGACCAATATTATTTAATTACTGTTATGCATTGTATTGTCGCCTCTTAAGGTATTTAACAATGCATCAACAATTTAAACAATTTTGTAGTATTTTTCGGACATGGTAACACTTCTGTGGGAATAATACAAAAGCCTCAACGGAAAAAAATCTATGCATAATTTTTTTCTCTATAAATATTACTATAAGTATTTTTATAATCTATGTCCGTGCCCGCGTATTTACGTGCACGTAACGGGACGCTCGAGCGAGATTTAATTTGTCAATTTATGTTGAAAATATTTAACATGAAAATCGTGTGATTGTATTGGTACTGTGTAATACTAGCGGCGTAACTATACAATGTTTTTTATTTATATTTTGTACTCGGGCAGGGCTATTTTCTGAATAAAATAGATGTTATACAAATGATAGCGTACCCAAGAGTATTTAATTCCGCTAAAGCACTATTTAATATCCCTCAAAATTTTTAGGCATAAGAAAGATAAAGATGAATTGGTTCCTAAAATTGTGAACCTATTATAACCAATTTTTTTCATTATTCCGTAGATAATTGTTACTAAAAATAAGCCTAGAGCTAAGAAAAATATCAGTTTAATAGACAAATATGTCTGCCCCATCAATGATTGCTCTGTAAGGTTTTTATTTAAATTGTGTACGAAATTATGTTAATTTACATAATTATAATTGTAAATATTTAAATTTATATCCTTTCAAGAACCATTTTACAGGGTATGGTCTAATAAATAAAGTTATAGTCGATTTAAATACAACTATTATTGCACTAGATATTTTTAATGGTCTTTTAATCTGCCGCAACATTGTTACGCCACTAGTAAAATACTCGTAATACTTAACGGACGATAAGCGTCTCTCTCTCTCTCTCACTCTTCATTTAAATTTATGTTTTGTCTCTTTCGGGCTACAGTTAAGAGTTGGGAAACGCGGTGTGTTTTCTTTGAGACGAATTTAACTTAACTTATTTTGTTGCATTTTTATGTTTACAATTTTTATATGAGGCTCATTTTAGGGTTTCATTTTCAAGCCAATACATTAATTGTGAAAATATGTATATATTTGCACAACGAAAGGTTGTATAGAAACAGATACATACAATTGGATGGTTGATTCTCAGATATCAGGTTCGGGTATGTGAGGCTCACAAAATATGTCCATTTCGGTAAAAACTATTAAAATGGCTGGAAATTCCACGTAAATACAAATATGTGTATGTGCTGTGCACTCCACTTTACTTTTATCTCCACACGTGACTAAGCTGGGAGACTTGTATGAAGTTAAAATAAGAGCCGCTTAAAAACATTATACGATTTATCGAAAGATTTCAGAATTCTTCAACTTTTATTTATAAAATCATGTTGAAAAGATGGCTCTGATAAATTCCGAATCATTTGAATAAAGTGGCACGCCAATTAAATCGGAAAGAACTAATAAGTAATATACCTATTTTGGAAGTTCATGGCGCACAATGAGTGTTGCCATTATAGATTATGACAGATTCCTTTTTTTAGTCGCATTTCTCACTTGATTATAATGTATTCTCTTGTGAGGAATTGGTTATTTTTAAGGCTATTTTGACAGTGTGGACGTCGTCGCATTAGTTAAGATTATGTGTGATACAGCATTTGTTTCTAATTTAGGTTAGTGGTACACCCAGTTGTGTAACTAGTAAACACATTTTAACTGTATAAGTTATAATTAGATTTATTTTGGGCTGTCGTAATTAAACCAATTTGCTAGTTACACTGGGTTGGCTATCATTGTTACGTTAGATTTTTCTCCATTTCCTGTAACATCTTTTAGAATGTTTGGGAAATAAGTAAAAATCTATAAATCGTAAAAATAGTCCTTTTTAAATTAATTTCTAAAGGCTTTTTTATCTGAAATTAAAATCAATATAATATTGTCGATTTAAAAATAAAAAATGAAAAAATCTTATTTTTGTAGATTTGTCACAGATCATGTTGGTGTTACCACGTTAAAATTATTATTACATAAACTCATTTGAAATGATTGGTTTAGTTTTATCGATTGAAGTTTGACAGTGATAGCCTTTTGTATATTGACAGCGTCTGTCATTTGGTATTTAGGTATTTTTCCAATAATTTATGGAACTGTCAATTTAAAAGCATTTTTAGTTTATTTATGGTTTCCTATGTACATGATGTAGAGATAATCATTTAGATTTAGTCTTACAGAATATTTTGTGTGACTAATTTTGTTACGCGTCGATGTCCACCATTTTTTTTATTTGTATCGTTTAAGTGTACCAAATATCTGAGAGGCGATAGCTCGCTCGATGTCGCAATGATTCTCTGTAGTTATGTATTAAATAATTAAATAAAAAACGAGGCTTTTATTTCTAACACTGGAAATTATTTTATTTTGTGGTGACAAGGAGTTGCTATATAAAAAATTAAGCATTCCGCCAGATCTTAGAAAATACGGTAGGGACAAGATAAATTGTATGATAGATTTTCACGACACCAAACATATTATATTTCATCTTCTATTAATTATTTAAGGGACCAGGAATTTAAAAAAGGAAGAAGGATCGTGTCATTGTGCTAAGCAGGAATTAAATAGTAAATAACCTAAATATAAATTAAATGGCACCAATTACACTTTACTATTTAGAAATGCATTTGTAAATTTTATTAATTGTGGGTATTTAAAATCATATATTCCTCTATTATACACTTAATCACTATTTGTATCCTTGCGGTGACTGCGTGTTAGAAATTTCGCCAAAATAAAATTCTACACTTAGACTCAGCACTGCTAATTTTACTAAGTTTACCTTTCGTGTTTACTTCATGTAAGTATTTATATTATGTGTAACTATTGTTATTGTGAGTTTTTTAGTTTAATATTATTTGTAACTTGAGTAATTGTATTTCTCAGAATAATGGCACATATTTTGAGATGGTTGGAAGAAGTTAGTACTATATGACGATATAATAGAAAGTACACTGAAGCGGAGCTATGTGATGAAGACTTGTTTTCGAATCACCACATATACTATCCAACAAAGTAAGTGATACAAACCATCCTTGCAAGAAGAGCCAGGTACTTTCAAACTTTAGACTCGGATTTCGAATCGGAAGATGATATACCCCTAAGTTACCTCAATAACATTACTACACCCAAAATCACTTATACATCCTTATCCTACACCCATACGTACTCAAATATTCGTACACAACCCACAGGCCTAAACTCTAATGTTCATCAGCAAATGTTTTGAATTATTCTTTATCATCTATCATAGAACTCGTAACAAATTCTACAAATATCTACATATAGCAAGTGAAAACTAAATTTTCCAGAGACGAGATCAAAAGTTACGATATCTTGAAATGAGAGCTTTTATTGGCATGCTTTTTGTAATAGGTGTTCAGAAATCCGAAACGTAATTTGAAGATATTGATACAACCGAGTATAGGTACCAATTGATATATCTCGTCATGTCTCTAAGTAGATTTAGATTCCTTCTCGAACGGTTAGATTTGATGATGTAAGGGATAGAGCAGTTCGTAACACAAGATAAATTAGCTCAGTTCGAGATATTTTCGAGAAATTAGTCAATAACTCCAACAACACTTTGTTCCAATATTTCTTAACTTTGATGAACAGCTTGTTGCTTTCCGAGGACGATGCCCTTTTAGGCAATATATACCAAATAAACCCCAAATACGGTATGAAAATATTTTTACTAACATACAGTCCTTACCTACCACATAAATTACCAACTCACCATGTCCTTTGCACAATCAAATAAAGTTGTGGATATTTCACGAATGCTAGCCCCACTGATGGTTTAGGTTGTAACTTACATGGATAATTGGTTTACTAATATACCTCAAAGTTTAGAGCTCTTAATCATAAAATTATTGTCGTAGGCACTGTGAAAAAAAAATAAGCCACAAATTCCCGAAGAATTCAAAATCACCAAAACAGAAGTGAAAGCATTCCATTTTTGGCTTCCAAAAACAAGGTACTTACATCCCAAACCAAAGAAATTGGTTCTATGTACTCAACTATCACTTATGATCTTCGATTTACAAACCAAAAAACTACCAATATAACATTTTACACAATACCAAATATGGCGTGACTTGTAGACAAAATGTGTAGTACTTATGACGTATCCAGAAACTCCACGATGGCCTCTTACTATTTTTTTTTGATCTTATGAATATAAGTGCTATAAACGTTATATTATACATACAATATATAAGGACTTCAGTAATAAGGCAAGGAAGGATTATTTATACGAACTTGGTTTTCGCCTAGTTACCATCATACAGCGCAGAATATCTATTGAAAGTATTCCAAAATCCTTGAAAATGAAAGGGAAAATGCTTTTAGGTATGAATGACCCATCAGAATTACAACCATCCACACAACCCCCCAATACTGGTCGCGTTGGAAAATGTTCCTTTTGTGGCAGAGCGCGCAATAAGTCCACCAGAAAACAGTGTTACACATGTAACAAGCGGATTTGTCCTCAACATCAGGTTCTACAATGTCCTGACTGCTGTAAAAATGATGAAGACCGTTTGGAGGATATGAGCGAGTAAAAAAAGTCACAAGAAAGTTTGAAGTCAAAAAATTATTGATTTTTCTCAAAATTTACAAGAAGTCTGATATTATGTTCCTAATAAATGTTAACAGTTATGCTTTTGTCTGTTTTAGTTTCTTATTAAAGTTTATTTTTATATGATATTGAAATATTTTTATTTTATTTATATTGTCCCTGTAAAATCTTTACACAAAGTTGTTCTACATATGTAGAGCGCGCGAGCACTCGCGTTCCAACAGGGGCGCGTGTACTGGAGTGATAAGCATACTTCGGATTTCGTGATATCTTCCTAAAATATTAAAGTTTTATTTATTATAATGAATATTTTTTCCCCGCAATTATTGTACAGAGATTATATTGTACATCTCTCGAAGCAAAAACAAAACTAATTTAGTTAAGTGATTTCAATAATAATTTATATTACATATTAATTTATTTTTATTTATCCTAAGGAAAATAAAATAAAAAGTCAACGTCACGAGGTGTTCCCAGGCGGTCTTTTTCATATCTATTGTTGCCAACGTCCATACCACGTTGAATACACCGGTTCTCGTCCGATCACCGAAGTTAAGCAACGTCGGGCGAGGTCAGCCCTGCGATAAACAATAAACTACAAGCTCCCACCTTTTCAGAATGCCAAATCATAAAATGACTGCTTCACGACTGATTTGAGAGAGACCGCCTATGCGAAAACCGCTGTGTGAGTTCGAAAAGTGAGTTACAGAATCGCAGGGCTGTACTTGGATGGGTGACCGCCTGGGAACACCTCGTGATGTTGGCTTTTTGTATTTTTATCCTTGTATGTTATTACACATTTTTACATCACATGTTAGTTACACAAACGCATCAGGAGAAGCAAGGGCGAATCTACTGAAGGGCTTTAAGGGCTGCAGCCCAGGGCCCCAAGTCCCCACTGAAAACAATGGGCAATATTTTAAATTACAAAAAATATCTGAAATTTTATAAAAAATCCAATCAAAAACTTGGTAGCCCTGAGATCAATCAACCCATGTGCGATGCGCGTCTATCGAACGCTTGTTTTCGGCCGGTGTATTTTTCGGTGATTCATAATGGATAATTGAAATATAATTAAACTGATAATAAACACGTCATATTTACAACTACGATCAAAGGTCCTAAGAGTCCTTATTGCGCAGGAAAAACAAAAGAACTGTAGAACTCATCTAAAAAAAACCCACTATCCTTTGAAGGAAGTTCTAAGTTAATTATTTCTGAAGATTGTGTATTTCTTATTAGTTTCGATATCCTTTAATAAAGCCTACACTAACATTACTTTTACTTTGTTTTATCATATATAATTTGTGGATTCTTTTTCTCAACTCTCCTACGTAACTTGGGGTCATCAGACCATATGGATTTGGAAAGATTTATATACAAATTGCATATCGTCACTAGAGTGTAGAATGATAACATAGTATGTCAAAAAACATTTATTTTTGATGTGAAACATCTATAGCCGCACGTAAAACCGATTTCTGGCGTGGCGACGCATACCGTGGCGACGCGTCGCCCCTCTATATGATGGTACATATATATATACAGTCTATATGCAGTAGTGTGTACGGTGAGTGTATTTCAAAGTCACAGATTAAACGAATTAAGTAGTCACGATTTGAAATAAATTCGTAAATTTTTGTATTTAATGAAAATAATGTTTATTCAATAAATACTTAGTCATAGTTATCTGGAAAAAAAATCGTAATATTTTATTTTATCATTATGACATATTTAGTTCCTATCACAATCTGTTCTTTTCTGCATATTACTTTTACAAAATAAAGTCGATGTTTCACATCTGCCAGGCGTCCCGTGACGGCTCACATTTTTTTAATTCTTAGACTCATGTCATTTAACTGGTATAATCATGAAGTAAGGAAGTGTATGTTATTAACAAATAAGTCCTTTTTACCATCTAGGACTAAACACATAATAATATTTTAACGAACATTGACGAACTAAAACATTTTTTTCGTCTGTGTAATGTTTGGTTCTCAAGACATACGAGGTTATCATTCTACAGCGACGATATTTCAATATCGGGATCGCTGTTATAAGTTGACAGAGATAGGACAAAAACAATAGTTCAATAATAAAATGTTTCTTTTACATATCAAATAGATATTTCACAACAATTAATCATGTCTGTCATCTGGTTTAGTGACTTCGTCCATATGTCCATATGGGGCTATCTCGTCACTTTTCACGTGAACTGGGGGGATTATTGACGGATCTATATCTCTTATAGCCTCTATTAGATCAGCTGTTGACTTGTATGACGATATTGTATGTTTCACGAAGTCCCTGAAAACAATTTATCGTTCAATTGGATTTAAGCGTCAGTAAATAACTGTGTAAAATATTTTCATGCAGGATCTCTATGCTGTTCCTGGATAGCCGAATTTGGCTGAAAACTTTCTTTTATTTGTGCTTTGCAGTGGTGAGCAACATACAGAAACTTCGAAATATATAAAAAATTGTCAGTGAAGGAAGTTTATTAACTTTTAGGACATTATTTTGTACCTGAAATAAAATGCTTTGACAAATACGGCTGGCTGATACTCATGTCCGCATCGCTCTGGTCCAAAACTCATCACTCCCATCAGCTTATTGTGCTGTACTCCTGGGGCACCAGCGTCGAACTAAATATAGGAATAAATAAAATTATTAATTTAGAAATCATATAATTTACCTAAGAAAATATCGAAACATTAAATTATTAAACAGCCTTATCTTGTTCTAATACATTTAAAAATAGATTCATAAAAACAAAAGTAGAACATTATTACTTAATGTAAATTAAAATAATAAAATTACATTGCTATTTGTGCCGGCGAAAACAGTTTGACACAAAATTGTTTTATTACACTTTATTATATGTAATTATTAAAAAAAAGGTTTTTACGATTCTCTACATGGGCGCTCTTTTGACTCTCGAGCGGCGCTAATACGGCGTCCGGGCGATTTCAAGTATGAACACGAGTTTAAATCGTGGCGTAAGTATTTTTTTTGGGGCATAGAAATTTTCCTGGTCAATTCATACTTTTTTTAGAAAATACCAAAAGAGAGCCACTGAGCCTTTTACGATTTCTAACTTGTCGAACAATTGTTTCGGCGAGAGGCTCCTATCGCCAGCAACGAGACCAATCTTCTGCGTCACAGTCCGACTAAATGAGAAACTTCACTCAAACTCAAAATATTCATAAAGGTAAACAAGTACACTTATGAACGTCAGAAAAGAAGTTAAATTAATTGTAAATTTACATTTACAACCAGTTCGCATGTCAAGAGCATAGAGCGGGTATGAAGAAGTAAGAACTGGCAAAAAACTTTCCGCGACTCTTTTTAATCGCCAAGTATTGAGTCATACAAATTGTTTGAATTGGAGAAAATCAATGCCAAGGATTAGGATCATTTAAGTATTCGTCACATAAAAAAAAATATAAAACGCTTTATTGATTAAGTTACGTTTAACGAGGGCTTTGAATTTATTTAGTGATAATTCTCTAATTTCGATTGGCAGTTTGTTGTAAAAACGAATACAATTTCCATATTTTTAGGTTTATCCTTTGGAGCCTGGTTGGTCGTACACTCAAATTAGTTCTATTTTGTCACGTAATAATAAAAGGTCCAAAGTTTGTTCTGACCGTAAAAGGCTGGATATAGGCGACGGGAAATTTTGTATTACTGTGATACGTGTCCTGATGTCTTGGCTATTGTTACATTAAATATCACACCAAACTAATTACAGAGTGTATTATTTATCAAAGTTTGTTGTTTTGGCAAATAAATACAAATTATATTTTATTTTTTGTATACGTTTGTTGTTGAGTTACCCTAGTTTGGCTAAAATCGCCTCGAGGCGGTTCGTGGAAAAAAGGCCCCGCGCAAATTGCATATAATTTGCAAATACATTAATCTTATAAAAACGCATATTGTACGCTTCATTATTTATTTTAAAAGACGAATATGTTCTTACCAAGCAAGCATCTCTAGTTCCATTCCTTAAAGAAGCGCAGAAGAAGTCTGGTGTGAATTGGAAGCCATTTACTAGCTGATATGCGTCTCTGCAATAGTGGCGCGTACGCACTTTAAGTCGTGCTGTTAGGAGATCTGGCGTGTGATCACGGAATGCTGTATCTCCTCCCTGTAATGATAGTTGGCTAAGCATATTTTTAACACAAACTATAAATTAGCCGACCAATAAAGAATTTTATTTGAAAAGTAACATAATTTCCTCTAGTATATGGTAAGAGTATAATAAAATATGTCGCTTTCCTCGCGATATTTTAAACGTAAAACTAATATTGATGTGTAATACTATATAGATGTGTGCTGTATCATCATTAAATTCATCTTTCTGTTGTAAAGAATAACCTTATGCTGTCATCTGAATGTGCAATCATCTTAGACCAAGCGGCTTCCCTCATAAATAATGGGTAATGTAAGTCGTCCCAATTGATTACTAAACTATGCCGACAAATTTGATACAATTGTCGAAAACATAACGTTTAGGTAGACATAGAAGATAAAGCATTCTTTCTCCTAATAATTGTACATTGTAACCGCTTTCGTATGTTTATAACTAGCTGACCCGGCTAACTTCGTTCAGCCTAATAGTCTAACAATATCGTGTTAACTTTAGTTAAACTTAAGTTATATATAATACCATCCGGTATTATGGTAATAACATTAATACAACTTTTTTATCAAATACAGGAATGTTTTATTGTTTTATTGCAATCGCAATGGCGAAAGAAGAATGACAGTTTAAAGTTTTACACATTAGGCCTCTTCTCTCTAGCGCCAATATTGCAATACTGCATGTTAAATCACTTTCTGATATACACAATTTTTTGATGAGGTAATCTTCGATAAAGATCAAAGCCTGGTTATGCATCTACTCATTCACTTCAAAATCGGAATTATTTGGACTGACACGAATTCGATGTAAAATGGTGCGTAATTTTGTGTGTTTGCATTCGTAAAATTAATTTATTTCGTTATTCGATAACTTATCCGATATTTTATTACTTATTCTGCTATTCGGAGCGGAGAAGAATCCACCAAAAAAGAGATAACGTGTAACTAACACGACTTTGTTTTATATATTTAGATATAACAATAGTAACGTAACATTATTTCTGATAATGTTACTCTTGGGAAACCTCGGAGAAATCTCTTGTACTTATATATTTATTGCTTATGATCTTATTTAATAATTCCTCCAATCTACAACTCTCCTACTGCACAACAAAAATATCCCACTTCAAATCTAATATTTTTAGTTTAGGTTAAGACAAATGAATTGGAATTTGCATTTCCGTCCCATCCATTTTTTTGTAATATTTAGTGAAATTATTAAACAAATACAAGAAATGAGCAGTGTTACCCTAGCGGCTTCAGCGTGCGACTCTCATCCCTGAATCGTAGGTTTGTTCCCGACTGTGCAACAATGGACTTTCTTTCTACTATCTACGCATTTAAAATTCACTCGAACGGTGAAGGAACATCGTGAGGAAACCGGCTTGCCTTAGATACAAATAGTCGACAGCGTGTGTCAGGCACAGGAGTTTGATCACTTGCCTATTAGATTGACAAATCATGAAACAGATTGAGAAATCTGAGGCCCAGACCTAAAAAGGTAGCGCTACTGAATAATGACATTAATAAATTTTTCTTACTCTTACGGCTCCCCAGCCGGTGACAACGACGAAACTTTGTGAATACGGCTCTTTCATACCTTCGTAGATCTTGATTAGATTTATATCGGAGCCGAACACTGTATATTAAAGCATATTATAGATTATGGTTTTAATAATTATGAGGCGGTTAAAATTCTCCTTTATAAGAAAATAATATATGATAAAATACTACATTATTTGTTTGGAATCTTTCTTACTAATATATAAATTAAATATCTCTGCCCTATTTTATAATCACTCTCACAGATTAATGGAGGATGTTACATGGATGTACCTAAAGTAGGTACAGGGCCTTTACCACGTATTCGCCAGTTAGTCTTTTCCTTTTTCATATACACTATATTTTACTTGCTGATTTCTACATAACACAAATTTATAATTAAACTATTTTTACAATAAGAATATTTTTTAGTAAATGTATGTAATGCAAGTTTTGAAATATTAGTGATAATTTGGTTTTTAAGGAAGTGTTTAAAGATGAAAGGGCCTCGAAAGAGAAAAAGCGTTGGGTGAAGAAAGTGCGTTTTTTGGGTTGCTTATATATAGGTTTGCGTTGTGTTGAAAGAGAGAGGTATGTCAGGACGGCAAGTGGAGATCCGTAGTCAGTCTACTGGAAAAAAGGCGTGATGATATAAATAAATACATCAATTGGATATGCGCACCATAATAAGTAGTTTGAAAAACATACCAAGATTCTCAGAGAGTTTAAGCAGTGCTATATCCGCGTGGGGAACAGGTTCTTCCTCAAACTTTGGATGTCTGACAGCTCCAGCCACGTCCATTAATACACCGCCTTCGTGAGGCCGGGCACTACCCACCCGGACTTTTACGTATCTGCCGAGCGTCTTCATCGGAGAGACGTGGAGGACACTACATAAAAACATATGTCTATAATTGAGTAGCGATTTCAAAATTGATTTTTCGTACCTCATACTGTAGCATCACGGATATTGGGAGAATTATGTTATAATCAAGTTTTTTAATAACAACCTCTTGAATGGTTAGTACGGGATTTATAAAATAAGATGTATTCAGTTGTAATTGAAGAATTGGTCGTACTCTGTCCAGTGTGTAGTTTTAATAGGAATTATAATTACTCTGTGCATTTAAATAATATAACAATTATTACTTCTTATTATTACTACTCATATTTTTGTAGTACAACTAAGACAGGTTTTCAGAATACATATTTCGACATCTGCGAACAACTTCCTAAACTCCAAAGGAAACTTTGATGGCTTCATCATTTTCTTTACGAAAGTCATGCCTTGGGAAACAAGATTGTGCCTTGAGATACGTTTCTAATTATGGGTTTTATTGTAACTCTATTGGTATAAGATAGGTATGAGAATTTGTTTTGCCTTATATTTGTAACAATACACAACTTTTATAAAAAAACTTGAACGTTTTTGAATAGTCGTGTCATGGAATGTTATGAATAAATTACATAAATTAATAAACCATAGATAAATACGCCACTTCAACAAGGCTAAACACCCTCCCAACCCGCACTTCGCTCACTTCAGTGAGCTTCCGTCCTGCCCTTCAGGCGATTGACCAGCCTTTGCTCTAATCGCGGGAAAAGCACATTTCAGCCGATCTACGTCCGCCAAAATTACCCGAGCTGGGCTGTCGAGACCCTTCAGGCCAACAGCGAGATTCCATCCCCAAAAAAAAAAAAATACTTACTAATTCAAACAATGTGCTGCAGTCAATACCCAATTCTCATCAACAATGACACCAGCGCACCACAGCCTTCCATTGATTATAATAGCAGCCATATACGGATAATTTTTTGTGTCCGACACATTCCCCCCTCGTATTCTAAGACCGTCAGGTTTCTGTATATTCACCGAATAATCGTTGCGTATACGTAACGGGTCTTTTGGATACATTCGCCGGCGGCCATCTTGGTTTGGTTCATTATAAAATTTCATTTTGAAATTAACTAGAAACAGTGATTTCGAAATTACAAATCTGCCGAATCTATTTCTCGACGAAAAATAAAAGTTATAGACATTATTCCCTAAAACAAAAGTGGCAATGGGCGGGGCATATAGTTAGATGCATAGACAAAAGATGGACTTTAAAGACACTGAAAGATATTGAAAGGACCAAGAGGCAGAAGGAGAAGAGGGCGCCCAGGATCGATTCATGATCCTGTTAGCTCTGGCACCAGATTCATGAGCCAGGTACACACAGTTTTCAACAGGCCTATGTCTTTGAAAGCTACGGGTTGTTCTTTATGGGTTTATTATCTGTCAAAATTTATTCATAGAGGTATTTAATTATTATAGACTGATATATTGAAGATGTCATTACTGAATGATATATATGAATATCGGGAGGTCAATTTGATAGATTCGTGTAGTTGTTTTGGGATTATTCCAGTGAGGACTAAATGATACTTTCTTAAGGGTCCAAGTCCCATTAATTTAATTTATAAAATTTGTATATTTCAAGATTGTGATAATTGTTATTGTAATTTGTGGTATTTGGGTCTGGCGATTCTATTAGATGTGCTGTTATTGACTTTAGCTCTGGTCTATTTAGTGTATTGTATGCTTTTCTAGAATCGTTGCTAGAACATTATTGTTACGTGACTTCGTACGTATAAAAATACTTACATGTAGAGACATCATTGGGCTCGTTGTGAGCATACATTGAAGTAAAAAACAAAATTAAAATCAGATTCAAAATAAACATTTCAATACACTTACAAGTAAATCTTATCGCACGTTATTTATTACAAAAACAAATATTCTAAATCGTTTTGTGAAATCGGTTTTAGGATATTGCAGCGTTGCTAACGCGAAATTGTTATTAAAATTACGATTTTCATACAAACGTTCTTTGTCAATTTTGTTTAGTTGGGACATGCGGAGATAACCCAGTGGTTGGCAAAAAAGCTTGGTATGTAATCAGTAGTAAAATGGTAGGTGGAGAAGGCTGATCACTTATATTTTTTATATTTTCTGTTTATTATTACTATGTATGTTAAGAAAATTGTAAATACTGAATATTTCATTGTTATGATTACCTACTAATAAAGGATTATTAACTAAAATACATATATATGTTACTAAACTAATGTTAGGTTACAAAACTCGCGGCATACAAACAAGTCAAGACAAGGCGCTTCGCACACTTGGCGCAGATCCTGACTGGCCACAGGACTTTTGGACACTATTTACCCAGATTTCAACTGAAGACAAGGGCCCAGCGTGCGACTGTGACGAAAGAACCAAATGGTGCTTCATTTAGTTGTTGACTGTTCGAGTTTCGACGGAGCCAGGTGCGATCTGGAGCTCGAGACTGGCATGTGCGTATCCCGGGATGGGCTATCGGACATGTTGCTCAAGCACAGATCGCAGCTGGTATAAATTCTGCCACAGAATTGTCAGTAAGATGAAAAGCACAAGAGGAGACGCGGATCCCACTGGCCAGCGGCCTATGACTCGGCCATAATTATCGTAAGCAGTTGTCACCCGGCGGGAGAAGTCAAGCCCACCAGACCTAGTTGAAGTAAATAAAGTGCCTTTTTAGGAAATGGGAGATTTGGAGTTGAATTTATATAAAAAAAACCTAAGTTATAATATATATATATATATAATTTAAGATATTCACCATTCGTTAACACATCTCGGATTTCAAAAAAAAACCAAAGAAGCAGGTTATAATATAAAATAATAATAACTTAATTTTTTCAGATTATATCCATATGTAGTTTTAGTTAGAGTTAGTAATAATTCGGTGTTAGTTCAATAATGTTCAAATCTGAATATTATCATAGACACTTCTAGAAATATAAAATAAAATGTACGACCTTGAAGGGTTGCTAGATATCATAATTCGGATAAACTAGTAGGTAAATAAAATCACAAAATATTTCAAATAATTTTATTGTCCATGAGACAACATAATACTATTAAATAAAATTCGCAATATCACATTCGTTTGTGGCACATAATATCTATCACAGTTGACAATACCGTATTAGGTAATAGAAGTGCTTACTTAGTATGTTGACTGCTATATGTAGCATGAGTTTGACGAAGTATTAAACGCGAGCGGGATATATCAAATATTTGTAAGACTTCTTAGGTAAAAAATCTTTAATATGTTACATACGTTAGTAGTGTGTTATGTGTAGTAATACTTTGTCAAACTCATGATAGAACTTCCAAGCGAAGTTCGATTCTATCTGTAGCAAATTTATGATATCTTCATCAAGTTTTTGATAACAATACGATAATGTTTGACAGTTCGATTCTCAACGCCGTTTATATAATCTACGAATTGTTTTCGATGGATATATATTTGTGCTTCCTTAATTATCAATACTCCCCCCTGATCGTTGCTCAAGTTTTCTTTACATAGTATTACTTATATAAATTTAACTAACACAACTATGCGCCCTTTAAAGTAGGTTTCACTAAATATAAGCCTATTCATCAAACCTAAATCAGTGTAATTTAACATATGTATTATTTCGGAGAGAACCTTGACAAATTGTAATGAAAGAGATATATTATTTAGACTTTAAAAATAATTATGAATTATGCTTTCGTGTCTGACATTATCGTATTGACCCATGCTAGACAAACAATCAAAATGGTGTAATTTTTGTTACATGTTACATTTTCATATAAATATATTACTTTCTACATCTCTGAATAAACTGACGTAAAAATAAAAAGTATATAAATATATGTTGTAGATGAGTATCATATATACTTTGCGTATAGTGGTCATGAATAAAACTCAGTATTATTTTTACGACTTAATAGCTAAACATATCAGAGTGTATTGGATACGATATCCTAAAAATAATAGTCAAATCTCGAGATATTGTGATTTTTTAAATAATTGGCCTACCCACATTTCTGAAAAAGTTTTTTTTATATAAATAGTTTGATAATACATTATTTTAAAGATTTAAAGCGGATTAATGAAATTTAAAAATGGTTTGAAAAGGTTACTATTAAGGCTAAATCGGGGTGGGGGGGCCCCGGGGGGGGGGGGTTTTTTTTTTTTTTTTTCTCCTCTTTTTTTTTTTTTTTTTTTTCTTTTTTTTTTTTTTTTTTTTTTTTTTTTTTTTTTTTTTTTTTTTTTTTTTTTTTTTTTTTTTTTTTTTTTTTTTCTTTCCCCCCCCCCCCCCCCCCCCCCCCTTTTTTTTTTTTTTTTTGTGGGGGGGGGGACTAGTTAAATATATATTTTAATAACACATAGAGTCAATAAACAGTAGTTTTAATAAGTGCGAACTATTTTTTGTAAACTTAGTGTTATAAACCGGTATCTTTAAATTTAAAGTAATGATTTTTATTTAATTTGGATGTACTTATTTTGTTGACTATAAATAAAAATTCTATCCATACTAGAACCCATGGTTTGCTTTAGAATTTTAGAATTTCCGCGACCTTATACTTAGTAATACAATTAAAATATGTGGGTAGTTTGCTTATATTTGAAAAATATGCGTCAATACAAAGTTAATTATTTCTACTGCAACAAAATAAATTATCTGGTACAACACAAATCCTAAAGCCGACTCACTTCATCGTCTTTGTCTATACCATTCTCTACATCTTTCCTTTTCTCCTTCTGTCTTCCATCTTCTAGTAAAGCATAGATCTCTTCTACGCTTCGGTCTTTAGTCTCTGGTACGTAGAGGACAGTGTAAAATGTCCCTAAGAAGCATACGAGAGAGAAAAATATGAACACCCAGTGAATGCCGAAATATTTCAGCATCGGGTCGTAGGCTTTTGTTTGTAGGAAATCGCTGAGAGCGTCAACACTACTGATAAAGGAAGTCACCATTCCTCGGTGCTGGAATAAAAAAACGTATTCAAATTTATAAAAATGTAAATAGTTTAACCGACTTCAAATACCTACACAATAATCTTTATAGGACATATGCCCCCTTTAAAAATGATCCACCCATATCTCAAAAACAACTTAACTGATTTTGATGAAAATTTTACGGACTGGGGCCGTTCAAGTATTACGTAAGCAGATTTATTGTATTTTATCCCCCCCGTCCTCTTGTCAGCAAAAGAAGGCAATGCCCTCAAAAATAATAGTACATAAACGTATTAATTTTTTGTAGGAATCGTCGAAAATGCATTTCGTTTTCAAGCATAGACAATGTGCGGGTAATGTATGTAAAAAGTAAATAATTACTCTTACTTAATACGCTTAGGTAATACTCGAACGGCCCCTGTTCTCTAAATATAAATATAGCGGATTTAAATTAAAATATCTCGATATGACTCTACTAGATATTATATAATTATATACATACTACACTACAGATATAACAAGCTAATTAATTGCAGCTTGGCGACCTACACGCATACAAGACAAACTGATAACCTTATTTTTTGACATCAGTAGCAAATTTTGTTCTGATATTTTTATTAGTTCTTAGGGAATTGCGATTTTTGTATGCTAATTAAAATAACAATAAATTATAAAATAGGTTCAGTATTTTAGTTATAGTTAGTTTATACATTCGAACCTAGATATACAATAAAAAAAACGAACTTACTTGAAAAGAAAATAGTTCTGACATAATAACATATGGGACGGGTTGATAGCCAGCGGCGTTTGAAAATATACACAAACACATAGCCGAAAAAGCGCGGGAAACTTCGTTCATGGTAGACGTTTTTTTTCACGGTGGTGAATATTTTATTTAATTTTACTAGTTAAAACGCAGAGGATAAGCTGGTAGTTTTAATTTTTGTATTATATGTAATCTTTATATCATATTTGTGTATAGTGTCATCGTGTAGTCGGTAAGTTTTTGTAATTTCTGTAAATATTGTATGAACAAGCCCCCCGATCAAGGTCGGGGGATGATGGCCTTGTTGGCTTGAATCTCCCTGTGGGATCAAATGTATCTGTTGGTTCACAAGATGAATTTGACAAAATGGATACCGATTGTTCGGTATCATCTCAAACAGGTGAAGGAACTCGTAAACGAACACGTTATTTGCGCCTTTGTCGGCAATGTACGAAAATTAAGAAAAAGAAGGGTAGTGGTTCTAGCGGTGATTACTGTCAGTGCGAAAGCCTATGCAATGTAGAAGATGAGTCAATTTTAATTAAAAAGGTTACTTCAAAACCTATATCTCAATCCACGTCATCTCCACACTTGCAAAATAATAATAATTCACATAGCACATCCTCTCGACCATCAACATCTTACACGGAAAATTCAAATATCTCTCAAGACTCTAACGCGGGAAATTCAAACAACACCACAGCTTCAGTAACCAATACGGACCCCCGTTCGATTGGCCGTACTGAATATGTTTCTACCGATGTTTCCCCTTATTTAATACATGTTCAACGTATTCAAAGTTCACCTGACGACGGGACTATTCTCCATCCAATAACATTTGGCAATTTTTTAAAGCAGAACAAATTTAATAATATTATTCCCGGAAGTGTAAAGCGTATAGGAAGAAACAGATGCGTAGTTGGCTTTTCCGATTATAAAGACGCCAATAATTTTCTTAACTGCAGTCTTTTGGAAACGAAAAAGTTAAAAGCCTTCATTCCCACTTTCAGCGTAACAAGAATGGGTCTAGTTCGCGGGGTCCCTGTAGATTGGAGTGTAGAGGAAGTTCAACAAAATGTATCAGTACCTATAGGCTGTGGCAAAATACTTAAAATAAGACGTTTAAATCGCAAGGTAAAAATTAATGACTCGGTTTCTTGGAAACCCTCTGAATCAGTTGTAATAACATTTGATGGGCAAGTTTTACCAAAAAGGATTTTCATGTGCTATAATGCTCTTCCAGTAGAAATATATATTTATCCTACCATACAATGCTATAAATGCTGCCGTTATGGTCATACCAAAGTTCAATGTCGTTCTAAGACTCCAATATGTTATAACTGTGGAGGTCAACATGCAGGTGTATCATGTGACAGGTCAGATAAAGATCCTCTGTACTGTGTAATGTGTGAAGTCGAAGGGTCCCATTCAGCGATAGATAAGTCATGTCCAGAATTTGTGAGACAGACAGAAATCAAAGTTAAAATGGCTCAGAGCTGCATGTCTTATGCCGAAGCCAGTAAATATTTTTCTTCTGTTAAGCCTTCATACGCAGATGCATTAAGTTCAACAATTCCGGAAGTACCAAAACCCGTATATTCTTCCGCAGCGAAGTCTGTATCTCGTAATAATTCTACTAATGCCTCAAATAAAAAGACAGTATTCTTAAAACCTCGCTCTCCTCGTAAACCACAACATGGTTATGATCGTGTTGCGCATAATAATGTTTTAAAAGACTTCCAAGTTCCAGAGCCTAAAAATGGCAGTGCTCTGGTTGGACACAAAAATAAAGAAGAAGAAAAATCTGATGTATTAGAAATGATACTAGCATTATTAACTAGTTTAATAAACTCAAACTTATTGAAACCGTCCCACGTTGCCTCTATTAATGAAAAAATTAAATCAGTTAATGTTATTAAAAACAATGGATTCCAAGATAATTCAATGGAATTGCAGGAGTGTTGTTCCAAAGAAACATGATTTGATATATTTGATAAATAAACATTCTCCCGTTGTTGTTGCGTTATCTGAAACATGGTTGAAGCCAGGGTACCTATTAAGGATCCCAGGATATACCTGCTTGCGTGATGATAGATTTGATGGCCATGGTGGCGTAGCGTTACTTGTCAGGAACTCAATTAATTTTTCTGAAATAGCGTTTTCTTCATTAATCTCTAATGATGCCATTAATATTGTCGGCATAAAAATTGATAATATTTCTATAGTTTCCATTTACTTAGCTCGTTCCTCTTTTGTTATTCTCAATAGCGTTAATAATTTACTTTCTTCACTCAGTCGTCCATTCCTTCTATTGGGTGACTTTAACTCTCATCACCAAATGTTTGGTTGTAGCACTACTGACTCCAATGGTGTACGTTTAGTTGAAATATTAGATTTACATAATTTGTGTTTACTTAATACTGGCTCACCAACCAGACGTACAAAGCCTAATGAAAAGCTTAGCGCGGTTGACTTATCAATTTGTACTCCAGATCTTGCTTCTTCTCGTTCTTGGTACACTTCATCATCTACTTTTGGCAGTGATCATTTCCCGATTATCATATCCTCACCAATTAGACGCTCTCCTTATCAAAAACGACAACCTCGTGTGAAATATAAATTAAATAATGCTGATTGGCTTGCATTTAAAAGCCTTGTCGAATCTAAAATAAATGATTTGCCTGAATTAGTTAGCGGTGGTGAGACCAATTCCTCTAAAGCTTTGGCTACATGTTTAATAGAATCTGCCGATCAGATTTTTTCTGTCAAACGAAATCCGTCTAATAAGATTCCTTTTCCTCCATGGTGGGATAGAGAATGTATGGTTGCTGTAAGCAGAAGAAAGGAAGCTGAGAGAGTCTATGCTGAGGACATGTCCAATGAAAATTTAGATATTCTCAATGAAGTTATTAGTACCACACGTAAATTCCTCAGAGATAAAAGCAGGCAGGCTGGAAAAATTTTTGTACTTCTTTATCTCCTTCTACGTGCCCTTCAGAAGTTTGGACAAGTATTAAACGTTTTCGATCTGCTTTCAAAGAATCTTTATCATCGTCTTCACTTCCCCCCTTTTTTAACCAATGCCTTTTTAGACAGATTAGCTCCTCCATCAGCTGCTGAATCGATCTACTTTCCTTTGGAATCGTCTTTGACAGATGACTCTTCCTCTTTAAACTCTTCTTTTTCATTACATGAATTGAAAGGTGTGCTTTCACATGTTAAGGATTCATCTCCTGGTCAGGATGGTATTATGTACTCATTTTTATCTCATCTTGGTGATACTGCCTTAATGTATTTTTTAAATTTAATAAACTCCGTCATGGTCACAGGTAATATTCCTGAAACATGGAAGTCTCAAGAAGTTATAGCGATTAAAAAACCTAACAAACCTACCAATGATGTTGCCTCATATAGGCCTATTGCGTTGTCCTCCGTTTTAACTAAAATTGCTGAACATCTTGTGAAGAATCGTTTGGAATGGTTTATAGAAAACAATAATTTAATAGCCAATAGTCAATACGGTTTTCGGAAGTCAAAATCTACAATAGACAATTTAGCTATATTAACCACAGATATTCGCATAGCTTTTTCGCGTGATGAAGATATTGTAGCTGCCTTTTTGGACATCTCTGCCGCCTATGATAATGTGAACATTTCTATTCTACAACACAAATTATTAGAGCTACAGGTTCCTACGTTATTAATACATTTTATCATCAATTTACTATCCTGCAGATACATATCATTAATCGTTCAGAAAGATGGTAATATTACCGAGTTAAAGCGTACAGTTTTTAAAGGCCTTCCCCAAGGTTCGGTACTAAGCCCACTTTTATATAATATTTACACGTATGATTTAGAATTATCTATAAATTCCCATATAAATGTGCTACAATATGCAGATGATCTTCTTTTTTATTCCGTTGATAAATCTGTGGTTAAGGCTTGCAATTCCATGTCTAGTTCACTTAATTGTCTTAATATCTGGTTAGTTAAAAATGACCTAGATCTATCAGTTTCCAAAAGTTCTATAGTCGTATTTTCCAAAAAACGCACAACTCCTATAATAAATGTGACCTTCAATGGTCAATCTTTGCCACTCCAAACAAAAATTAAATTTTTAGGAGTTGTATTGGATTCAAAATTGTCTGGACTTGCCCATTATGAACATGTTGTTATGAAATGTGCACAGCTGCTTAACATCATGAAATGCCTTTCAGGTGTATGGTGGGGTGCTCATCCGTTTTCTATGAAACTTGTGTATAACGCTCTTATAAGATCTGTTTTAGATTATGGCACATTTCTCTTAGATGGAGGAAGTGTCTTGGGAAGTCAAAAACTTGATGTCATTCAGTCAAAAGCTTTGAGAATTGTGACAGGAGTAATGAAATCAAGCCCATCCAATGCTTTACAAGTAGAATGCTGCGATCCTCCTTTAAAATTAAGAAGGCAATTTTTAAGTGATCGATTCTTGTTCAAATCTATGCAGTTTTCTAACCACCCTCTACATAGAAAACTGCATGAATTGAACAATATTATTCATACATCCCGTTACTGGCGTCACAAATCATTACCATGTCTAATAATAAGCTTTCGTAAATTTTTAACATTACACAGCCGCATTCATCGATCTCCATCATTACCCATATTTATGACACAATTCAATTCTTTAATTCTTGATCCGGATATAAGATATAATATAGGCGTCTGTAAGCAAGATATTCTGGAAACAAATATTCGTTTCATAAGTAGCGTTGAGGAACAAAATTGGGAAGGTTGGGATTATATTTTTACAGATGCCTCTAAAATATCTGTTGATGATTGTGTTGGAGTTGGTCTAATTCATTGGCAACATAAAATAATTCAAAAGATTAAACTTCCTCCTGAATCCTCAGTTTTTACTGGAGAGTGTTTTGCTCTTTTAAAAGCTTTGGAACTAGTTATTTTATTAAAATCTAAAAGAACAATCATATTTTCAGACTCAAAAAGTGCACTACAATCTCTTGAAAAATCTCCTTTCCAAATGAAATTTTGTTATCCTATTATTTGCGAAATACGTGATAAGCTTTTAATATGTTCTCAAAGAAATTACACCGTTATCTTTGCATGGATTCCAAGTCACAGTGGGATTAAAGGAAACGAGAAAGCCGATGAGCTTGCTAAAGAAGCTATAAAGGATGGAGACATAGTCCCATACATCAATTATTGTCATGATTTAGCTGCTCTTCCGAAAACCCATCTTTGGGAGTCATGGAATGATGTTTGGTTGAGAAGCAGCAAGTTCAAAGGCAAACATTATGCTGAAATTCAACCTAGGATCCCCAGTAGACCATGGTTCTTTGAGGTTAAAAGTTCTAAAACTGTCACTTCTATCATTTCCCGAATGCGTTTAGGACATGTTTGTACACCTCATCATTTAGCAAGGCTTCGTATTGTTGATAGTAATATTTGTGAGTGTGGAGAAGATATTGGTGACCTCGACCATATTTTCTTTTCTTGTTCCCAATATGACCGTACCTCCTTTCTGAATTCTTTACAATCACTTCATGTTCCGTTTCCGACTAAAATCTCCTGCCTTTTGCTTTATCCTTTATTGTATTATAATGTATTATCTTCTTTCATAATCTATAATAATATTAAGATGTAATATGTTTTTGTACATATTTTGTTTTTAACCAGCTTATCCCTTTATTTCCTTTTGATGTCTTTGTTTATTTTATTTCGCGTGTAGTTTCCCAACCTTTTACTTGAAACTGGCATAAAGTTGAAGCTGTTGCCAAAAAAAAAAAAAAAAAATATACACAAACACATAGCCAATACTGGCAACCATCCCGGCAGCCATATTGATAGTGATGTGACATAGAACCATGCTCCTAATGACAGCATAGACAATCCCGTCGCTAGTGATGTGCCAGCAAGGAGCCACTGCAAATTTAATGTTCATAAAAAAAATATTCAAGTGTAACGTCCATATTATTGTAAAGTCATTCAAACTATATTAGTCTCTTGCACTCTTTTGACTGAAATGATCTTTCGTCTCTTTCTATCAAATTGAGTGTACGGTTTGATGAAAAGAGACAAATGGGTACTTAATAACTAAGTACATTGATTTCTTTTTCATGAATAAGAATAGAGAACAGAAAACAAAAGCAACTTAAAGAAAAGATATTTTTATTAAAAAAAACATAGTGTTTAGTCCAAGTATTCGTAAAAGTAAATATATTTATCTGTTACGGTAATTTCTGACACAATGTATAAATAATGCACAGATTAACCAATACACGATTTTTTTTCGAATAACACACACATCACACAACAGCCGAATAAGGTATTACTTATTTAAATATAATTCATAATTTTTATTGATTCCTTCGGTAAATGTTTGAACTTTTTTGTAACTATTGTATATTTTATGTATTCTATCTTTAGTATAATTTTTTTTAGCTCTATATAATTTATCTTAGCTGTAGGATTACGAAATAAATATGCGAACACACGCTTTTATAATATATAAATATCTATCGCGCTACTGCTCAAGTTATCGATACAACGATTCTATTACTTTAACTATTCGAATTTACGTATAGTTACTGAGGTTAGGCAAAACTATAGCACAGACTGTACAGACAGTTTTTAAATTCCCGTTTATAGAAAACCTTGTGTTCTAGATGCAAAAAAACTAATTGGTCATTTTGGACAGGGTAACACCGACCATAGTTATTTATAATTTATTTGCATTTTATGGTGGTACAATCTGAAGTTACATACATTATGAGTCAAACATTATACTAAATTCTTATATTATTTGTAGTGATATAAAATATCACATTATTATAATTTAATCAATTTAATATCAATTATAATGTTTCACGCAATTAACCATTAATAGAATAATATTTTTTTTCCAAAAGATGATTTTTAAAAGCTCTAGTAGGATTTTTTAATGTCTTTGGTAAATTATTATAAATCTGGATTGTCATTTAAAAGGTGTACAATTTTTCCCCACGTCTTCAAACGATTCCGTTGACTTCAAAATACATATTTATATTTTATATATTACCTTTCGTCCGGTCTGCTCCACAATGCAACTAGCGACTATAGAGCCAATAAGCTGTATGACCCCCACCACTATAGTCTGTTTGTTGGGACTGAGCTTCAAACTGATAGATTGCGAAGCCTGGTCAAATATGGAACCAGCGTACATCAGTACAACCAAATAGCCACAGGTCTCTTGAGACAGCATTACGCTGAGCGCTATACGGAACGCTTGGAATGTTGTCTTGTCTTGGACTGGAAATTAATTTTGTCAATAGAAGTGATACGTGCCACTCTCATCGCGTAGGTTCGTTATGTGAACCACGCTTAAACGGTGAAGGCAAACATCGTAGTGGTATTGACATGTCTCAAATCAAATAAATCTGACAGACAGCAGATACCCTACTTGTTGATTAAATAAAAATTATGAAAGAAACGGATGCAATCAGCCTTCTAGGGTTGTAACACCACTGGATTATTATTATGCTTTTACTATAAAAAATGCGTCATCCCTGAAGTCCACGAAAATATCAATATACTTATGTAAACATGATTTATGTAAAAACAATAATTTAATTGTTTGAACATGAAATGTATGCAATGATTTTCAAGCAACAAATAAAAATTTATAAATAGTCTTAGCGAGTCCTTCAAGAAAAGAGCGCACAAATTCTTAAAAGTGCCGATTGTGCGAGTCCCTGGTAATGTGACTGTTCATGGGCGGCGGTATCACTTAACATCAGATGACCCTCCTGCCCGTTTGCCTCCTATTACATAAAAAAAGTTTAAAAATGTAATATATTATGTTTTTTTGTGTAAAGTATGTTTGTGCTTACATAAACTTTTCCAAGAACTCTTTTTCATAGAGCGCGCGTATTCCTCCTCTCTTTCCATCTGTTGGACTTCCTCTTCAAGATTCTTGTCATCGGGTGACGTGTAGCGTAACCATGCTAATGCCACACGGGCTTCCTAAAATATAATTGTACAACATTTAATTTCAATTATGTCTGGCAACTTTATTCACGTGTAGTTGAATATAATAAAAAAATAAGTGCGTGCTATGGGTCCGTTTTAACTGTTGCACAGAGTTTTTTAGCATAGGGGGGCTATGGGATGCCCAAAAGATAGCCCATGGATACTCATTTGGGTGCGTTGCCGCACGAGTCTTTTTAAACGGTTGGAGTTCGTATCTCCCAGAGTATGAGATACAATTAGAATTATTGCGTAGTGGACCGTGGAAGACTTCCAGTTTCAAGGTTTATCCAAAGTTTTGGGAAAACACAAAAAAGGGGGTTGGTTGGTTTTTTTTTTTCATTTGTTCAATCAAAAAATTTAAAATAGGAGGAAAAATCTTTAATTTGGTACAAAGGTGAGCTAAATTTTCTATTTCAAATTTAAAAAACTAGCTTTGATAAAATAAAATCTTAATTTTTTTAAGGGAAAAAATTTTTTATTTCTTAAAAATAGCTTATAATATATTCATAGTCATAAGCAAGTCTGTTTAAACACAGATAAAAAATAAATAAACTTGTTTTAATAGCATAGAGGATGAACATTGGTTTTATTTGGATGGCATAGTTAAATATTCGTGTTTTGTATCATAAATATGTATACATCAATAAGTTTTTTATTTATCAAATGCAAAAACGAATACTTGTTTATGGTCTTGAATTTTTGCACATTCATGGTTCGGAGAATACATCCTAATAAACAGGAAATAAATATTTGTTTGCTTTAAAAAAATAAAAATTTCGGATCGAATCGGATTTTAACCATTTCGTATGTACGGATACGTCACGAAGATGTGTAGCGTTTTTGTCGAAGAAAAGGGAGGAGCGATTGAGACCGATTGAGAGAGAGTGAGAAGGGCGAATTACTTTACAGAAATTATATTTTGAAAATTAAAATTTCGTATTAGTATTTTATATTTTATGCAAAATAAATTATTGAAACCTCAAATGACGAATTATAAATTACCACCACGTGTTCTTATTATTCAAGAAATAATTTTAAAATTTGTATTAATTTTCGACACTTAATATTTTAATGACCAATAAATTCATTAAATTCCTAACATATCTTCCTTTTCCCCTCACTCTAAGTCTCGGATTTTTTTTTATTTGTATAAATATAAACAAGAGTTAAAAATTAGTTTGCCAAAGAAGTTTCACTTCTGACATGTGTAGGTACTTTGTACGCACGCATTTTGTTTCCATGCATTGCTCTGTGTTACTTGAGGTTATCTCTTTGGTTTTTAGTGGGTTTGATAGCGCCACCTGTGGCACTGCGTTTTTGTATTTTTGTGTGTTTTGTTTATTAATTTATTAAAAAAAACTATTGGCGTCGAAACAAATAATACAGTATATGTGTACATAAAACAATTATTAGCGTAACGGACTCTGAAATTGGTCCAATCCACAGATCACTAATGAACTGACTACAGGACCTAACACATACCACAGATTATGCAAGTTTACTTATTAAGAAGCATGCAGATCTACAGATACCTTACCTTATATTTTCCTTGTTTGACTAAAAACACTGGTGTTTCCGGCATAGCAAAGAAGAACAGTAGATGCAGCACAGGTATTGCAGTGCACAGCCACATTACAGTTGCAAAGGAGAGTTGGTCTCCAGCCACGTAGACCAACAGGTATCCTAGGTTTTGTACCAGGATGAAGAGGGAACCTAGAGCGCCTCTTATGCGGTCTGACGCTATCTGTGGAAAGGTGTTTTCGGGTAAGCGACTCGTTTGGGAGGATAATTTTTGGACAAGTGCAATGGCAAAATGCTATCAGATTAATTTGTAACATGATATACCATACGATTTTTATGAAAAGTGCCAAGTTAATTTATGTATAAAATAGGCCTACCTTCCATGTTAAGCTAACGTTAGCGCATACATCAGCATTACGGATATTGAGAGAACTACATCGAAATTGCCAACAAAAACGACGGGATTGAAGTTGCTATTGGTACTCTACCGGCGCAGTTTGGTACATTTAAAACTAGTGGCGCTACCCCGTCTACTGTTATGGTATCTAATTATATGTATTTCGTAATCATTTGCATAACAACATTCTATCTGTGACATACACCGTCGATTTTTTGGGGTTAATGCCTGCCTCATGAAGTTTTCCTTCACCGTACGAGCGAGTGTAACAAGTAAATGCGCACATAGAAAAAGTTCTTTGGTGCACAACCGGAGTTCGAACCTACGACCTCAGTGATGAGAGTTGCACTCTCAAGCCGTTAGGCCAACACTGCTCAATAAATCTTAAAATTAGCTATATACAATACAGAATTGTATATTAATAAAACCTTGACAACTTAACATTCTTAATTATTTAATATTAAAATTACCTCTTTTAAATATAATGGTGTGACTACATAGCAGCCAGCACAGGCCAATCCGGCAACTGCCCGTGACGTGATCAGCGCCCATGGGCGAAGTGAAAAAAGTGTTATACTCCAACTTATCTGTAACAATATAAAATTCATCTCTATATCAAATGTTATCCAAATAATGGAGTTGTTTCATAACATATATTAATTCGTAGTCACAATTTTATCTTTTAGTAGTTTAAGTGCCGTTTTTTAATACGGAGCCCTAATGTGTTTACCCGCGTTAAATCTTACACGTGAACTTTACTTAGAGCTAAGTCTGACTTCAGTACGTCATCTATCAGAATTTGACATATTCTATCTATTATATAAAGAAAAATGGTCTTCGTTTGAGGCTCCTTCACGCCTAAACCACTGATCGTATCGACATGAAACTACCACCATTCATGACAAAAAAATAATTTTTTTTTTAAAAAATAAATTTTTTTTTTTTTCTTTTTTTTTTCCCCCCCCCAAGGGGGGGGGGGAGGCATTTTTTTTTTTTTTTTTTCTTTTTTTTGGGTTTTTTTTTTTTTGGGGGGAAAAAAAAAACGAATATTTTTAATCTAAGATATTTAAATTAATTAAATTAGAATTTCTAACGTTCCTTCATTTTTTATTGCTGTTTTACTTTTATGAAAATTTATACATACGGACTTCACCTGCGAAACATTCGGGGAGGCTTCCAGTAGAACCTCAAAACGTTAACATCTGTTAAAAACTCGATCTTTCGAAAATTTTCAATTTTCTAAATGAGCAAGAGGGAAATTAAAAAGAAGAATAATAAAAATATAACAAAAAATAATAATGAAACTTAAAATTTTATTTATTTCCTATTTTAAGGCGCCCAGCAAAGCGGGCAGACGAAAACGGCAAGTATATTGTATATGGGATAGTTATTGCGAAGTTGTTTTAATACCTACTTTATCTCCTAGGATATTAAAAAAGGACCAAGGAAAAGGAGACGAGGGCGCCCCAAAAGGATAGCGTATGTATTTTTGTTAATAAATAAATAAAATATCTGACGTCACAGGACAACATTCGTTTAAGCGACACAGACACACGTACCTATTGGTACGGTTTTTTCCTTTCATGGAAATGAACTCGTTTAAGCTGAACAACGCAATAATGATTAATAGGAATATAAAATATTACACATAAAATAATTAAAGCTAGGAATTTAATATATTGTAGATAAATGTGTTAACAATTGTTGTTTATTCATGTTTATTTCACTATAAACGAGATAATTCAGATTTAATTGAGCGTAGAGTGGTTTAAACCGCTTTCAGGTTTGGTGCAAGTTATAAGCGGTTTATTTTATTTTTTTTGTTTGCAAGAGAAAAAAAACGTACAAATATTACACAACGAAAACACGCGGTGTTTAAATACACATGTTTAATCTTCCTGGCTTATTTTGAGTGAAAAAAGTTCAAAAGTTCTATTTTAAATACGTAATAAAAACAAATAACTAAATACTTAGGTTTGGTTTTTGACACCTGACTAACATATACACTTTTTCATTTGTTTTCTTCCGTAAACATAAGTTATCGGACGATTGAAACCACGAATAACACAATTCGCCAATTTACAATAACATTACATGGTTGTCTTATTATTCGACTTCCGGACCTCATTTGTATATTTTTTCTCTGATAAATTCCCATTCTCGGACAAATTATTAAGCAAGATAGTAATTTAATGCACAAGCAACACAACCCCCTGTCCGCTTCTTATATACATGAATGGCGCCAAAACCCAGCACACCACAGAGAGGATGCGTCACAGATTAGGTAGACTTAAGCGATATGCCACAGATAAGTAAACAATGTTTTTTACTATAGGCAAGCATTACACCAACATTGAAGGGAAACTAAAAAAACCTTCTTGGACTTAAAGTTTCATCACAATTTATTATTACGTTTTAATATTTTTTACAGTTTGGTAAGGTATTTATTTATTAAATTATGGTAGATTTACATATTAAGACATATCGAGATTGTAAATTATTTATTACAATAAAATAATTATGAATAACTTAATAATTAATATAAATAACAAATCAACATATATAAATAACAAACAAATTGATTACTCATTCTAATAAACTCACAGATACGGTTTACGAAACCTCGTCATACGGGTTTTTTAAGTTTATAACACGTTACGTCTTACAACTTAAAACATGCTATTGTGTGAATATAATCAAGTAACTAATATATTATTATCTGTTCCCATGGCCCAAGGTGTCAAAGACAATTTGTACTTTTTATGTCACTTAAAAAGCGCGGCAAAAATCCGACATTCTATGTGTTTGTTATTTTACACAATAGGTACATGTGCGTAAGACCAAATTAATTATTTATTAAGCGTTTTAACATTTTCATGATGGTTTGTGGCAGATAAATACGAATTAAATAAACCCTTGTTGGGTAAAAATTACTGGGCTTCATTTTTATAAAGACGGACTTATTCACGGGCGAAAATTTATTTTGTCTTAAAAAAACTTAGATCCCTTGGCTCAATTAAAGTTATATGTCAAAGGATAAATTGATTTCCGTCCGTGGTACGAATAGTGCGTCCGTATATGACGTACCTGGAGGACCTAGTTTCGATTCTTGAAGATTTTATAAGCCAGAATCCAAAAAGAAGAGTAAAATATTAAAGTGTTTATTGAAACTTACCACCAGCATAAGTGATGTCAACATTGTAGTGGTTTTTCTGCCCCATCTATCAGCCAGGTCTCCAACCAGAACACCACAGAAGATGGAAGGAAAGAATGTGATCGATGCCATCCAGGATATGGTGTCATCTGTAATGGGTTCCGGGGCTGGTCCGTTCGGGGACTGCAGTATTGGCGTCATAGGCGACTGCCATCCCATCAGCATACCGAAATTTAGCACGGGAATTGTCACTGTAAAGAAATCAGATTGACAAATAATAGGCCGTATTCTAGAAGTCAATCAAACTTAAATATAGGTTAGTGATAGTTTTTAAAGTGATTCAAATGTTAGCATTATTTATTCCTATATAAAACTTTCCTCAAAGCCCTGTCAAAACTTTTTAAAACACATTGTTTCTATGCATTCCCAGCAATTTAAAAGTTCCATAAATTCGTTTAATTTATATATACGTTTAGCATATTATGATAAAAAATATCATAAAAGTAACACGTATTGTTTATATTATAACGGCAATATAGTTAAAATGTCTCAGCATATGGCCATAAAGTCATCACGTGTGCCAGAGATAACCCGTCCTTGCTCTAAACTTATACACATTAGACACATCCGATAATGCTGTCAAATGTCACTCGCCAATAATCCCGCCTAAAATTTTCCCGTTTTTAAAAGAAATACAAAGCAATTAAGTTGCCATTAGATGCGCAGAGATATTTTCTCCTACTAAACACTTAAAATCTGGCCAATTTACACAGCCAGGCTTAGCACCGTAATATTTTAACAATTTTAAAAGATATTATAACCTTGTCTTTGAACTTGATGTATCGTTATTCATATGTCGACCCAAATGCTAACAGATTAAGCAATTTGGATGTAGCCTTGTGCAGTGATTATATCGACAAAGTAAGAACGTTTTCTCACTTCACAGTTATTCGAACGTGTGTTTTATCTTTTACTATTTTCTTTATTTACTTAGTTTCGTGTAAATATTTTTATAATTAGCCTAATTTTTAAGTAGCTACATACCAACATATGAACTATTGTGCTATGTTACCCTATAGGGATAGGGGGGTTTGGGTCTATGCTTCTACGGTTCCCAGTACGACATGCTTGCATGGTAGCATAGGTGCAAACCCATCCTACCACATCCTTCTGATGGGTAGGGAGGCGTGGCTTTTGGGGGTAGCGCAAGTCGCTATGATCCCCTCAAAGCAAGTTTGGTGGACTAACCTTCTCGAGGTTGCCGACCCTGTTCTTGGTCTAATACCCTATGTATTAGACGTAACTAAAACCGCCAAGCGAACTATTGCAGGGATGGAGAGGTCATGTCCTTGCGAGTTCATCGTCCAAAAAGGGAGGACGGTGGACAGTAAATGACCTCCCGCGTGTTTGTGCCGTGCGCGGGGACCCGTACGGGGGATGAAGGAATCCTGGGGGTTGAGTGGAGTAGTGCGCCGGAACAGTTGTGCGCTGCACACAACACACCTCTTTGGTCTGGATTTCTCCTCACACGGGAGGCCGGGGTCTAGCTAACCACGGTCAACCGGCTGTGGCATCCCATAAGCGGGCTGCCGAGCGAGAGTCGGGATGTGGGGGGCCGTCGGCGCGGCTAATCCGATGGAATCCCGTATACCACCGCACAAGGAGGTGACCACTGCTGCGGCCAGGTTGACTGCGTCGGTCGAGCCAAAGATAGCGACCCCGGACGATGATACAGCACTGTCTGCGTCTGAAGGGGTGCTTCCGCGGCAAGAACGATGCGGCAGACCGAGGCTGCGACGGAGGGAACGTCCAGTGCACTAACCACGACCATGGATATGTCGGCCCTGAAGACCGCAATCCAGGAGCCGACTTTCAAAATGGTCGTTAGCAAATCTAAAAGGCGACGGCACAGGAGAGCCATAGGGGCGCCGGAACAGCAGAAGCTGGTCACCGGCGCTCCGAGGCCACCTGTGAAACCTGGAACTGCCCCCGCTGTAACCACAGTTGAGAGAGGCGGAAAAGGACACCGAAGCCTAAAAGATCCACTGCTGCGCCCGTGCCTAGCTGCTCTGGGTGCGGCAAGGACTTAAGAGTTCCAAAACTAACCAAGCCACGAAAGGCCAGAAGCGCGACCGGCCTGAGGAAACCGTAACACCGACTGGGGAAAGTAAAAGGGTCAAACCCAACAAACCCCAGACGGTGGCAGGGACCTCGGCCAGTTACGCGGAAGCGGCAGCATCATACAAAGATAACGAGCTTTGTGTTGCCGTGATGACTGAGCCTTTCGTGGATATGCACAGGAACAGGCGGATAACATCCGCCTACAAATCGAGGGTAAAATTCAAGACGAGCTCCTGGCGGATCTTGATGCTACCCTAACTACCGAGCCCAACGACATCAGGTTCCGGGGTAAGGCCCATTTCTCGGATGGTGTCCTCAAAACTTGGTGCGAGGACACTTACACTCTGGGTTGGCTGACCGGAACTTGTGATGTCATCACAAATCCAGTACCTGACACCAGGTTGGTGGTTCGGCCTCAATCGGCGATTCCGAACAGGATTCCGTGTCTGCTACATGTACCAGACTACAGTGGCAACACGGAGACACTGAGGAAACTGATCACGAGGCAAAACCGCCACCTCAACATCAGACCCTGGACCCTGACACACGAACGAAGAACTCAGGACCCGACAGGCGTGTCCCTCTTCTTTCGTGTGCCGGAGTTTGAGATCTCTAAAATCAAAGAGCATAATCGGCGTTTATACTACCTGATGGGGAACATCTATATCCGCATCCTGGATAGAGATGGGCCCTCGCAGGTGGCCAACGCCCCACCAACTGCTGCCAGCACATCGGGGGTGGCGTCGTCGGGGCCGGGGCTGCCCACGTCCCTGACGGGGGCAGCTTCGGTCACCGGGGCACACGTCCCTATGGAGGTAGCTACACAACCACCGTCACCGGTGCAACTAACTTCGGATGATGAGTTGTTTCAGGAGACCGGGGGAGTGAACTCAGCGACAGCTGTCTGCGCTCCTCCCCATCGCCGAACTGACCTCATCCAGGCTAACCTCCAGCACAGTCAGACAGCGTCGGCTTCCCTACGCAGACTGCTGGAGACCAATCCGAAGACCATCGCCGCGATCCAGGAGCCGTGGATCAGGAATGGCAAGATATGTGGCCTGGGCTGCACCGGTGGTAAACTTTTACTGGATACCTCCGTAAGTAACCCTAGAACTTGCATAATCTTGCCTAAACATGTACCAGCATTTCTAATAAACGAACTCTGTTCAAGGAACCTTACAGCTATTAGGTTACCCAGAGACAATCAACCAGACGTCGTCCTGGCGTCCGCCTACTTACCAGGTGACGAGGACGTGCCCACTCCAGAACTCGGCCTTCTGGCTGACTACTGTGAGAGGGAGAAACTGGAGCTAATCATCGCGGCGGACTCCAATGCGCACCACACGTTATGGGGTAACGCTAGTACCAACACTCGAGGTGAGGATATGCTTAATTTTATACTTAGCAATAACCTTATCTTGGCAAACAATGGCTCAAAACCAACTTTTTATCAACGCGCGTTCGCAAACTATTATTGATTTAACAATGGTAACTGCTGGTCTGTCAGATCACATACAGGACTGGCACGTATCCAACGAGTTATCATGCTCGGATCATAGGTGGATCCGCTTTGCAATCAAAGGGAGCTACCTAAACCCCAACCTAGACGTATACCGCGGAGAACCGATTTGGTAAAATTTTATAAACTTATCAGCTCCGAGGTAGACAAACTATCGATACCAACCACCATAAATATACAAGACATAGACAAACATGTAAACAACCTAACGTCCCTACTCCTGACAAGCTATGAACGGTCGTGTCCCCTTACCATACCAAGATGGGGAGGGAGACATAACTGGTGGTGCCCCGAACTGGAGAGACACCGACGGAAGGTCAGGAAGCTGTTCAATAGAGCAATGAACACACGGTTACCCACCGACTGGGACAAGTACACGGTCGCGAGAAGGCGATTCAAAAAACTTTTACGTACTAGGAAGCAGGAGTGTTGGAGACACTTCTGCACCAGTATTGAAACAAACAACCAGGCAACCAGGGTGAAATCATGCCTCTCCAGAGAGCCCAATCACTCGATCGGTTGTCTTAAAAAACCTGACAATTCATTTACAAAAACTGACTCAGAAACATGTGAACTACTACTGGCAACACACTTTCCGGGTTGCATAATTGCCAACGAACAGGCCTGGCAACCATACTCAGAGAGAGCCACCGACAGCTCAGACTGGCAAGTAGCTCACAAAATAATCTCTAATGAAAAAGTAACGTGGGCAATCAACTCCTTCCTTCCATTCAAAGCGGCTGGTTTGGACGGCATCTTCCCAGGTCTACTAAGATGGAGTGGGAACTTAATAGTAGACTATCTTGTCTCTGTCTTCCGAGCCTGTATAGCCCACCGATACATACCCTTGAAATGGAGAGAAGTAAAAATCATATTCATCCCAAAACCAGGTAAAGAGGACTATACCCAAGCGAAGTCCTTCAGGCCTATTAGCCTTACTTCATTCTTCTTAAAAACGATGGAGAGGCTAGGAGACCTGGAGATACGCAGCCGGGTATCGCTATCCAAATTCCTACACCCTAATCAACATGCCTATAGCTCGGGCAAATCAACGGACTCATCACTCCACAACGTCGTGTCTCGCATTGGCAACTCCCTGAAGTTAAAGCAGTCAACCCTTGGTGCATTCATTGACATCGAAGGTGCTTTTGACAAAACAAACTTCACGAGTATAACCAGAGCACTAAGGTTATGTGGAGTACCATCAACCCTTATAGAATGGATAAACAACATGCTAAAACAACGAGCTATACAGTTCACGGTAAACTCCACAACACGAGGCATTGTCAGCAGAGGATGTCCGCAGGGAGGTGTTCTATCGCCGCTACTGTGGAACCTTGTGGTTAATGAACTAATCACAGAACTCAACGCTGACAATCTCTACACTGTGGGATATGCTGATGACATAGCTATCTTGATATCTGGGAACTTTGAAAGCACCTTATGTGACCTCATGAGAAGAGCTTTCAAAGTGATTGAGAGATGGTGCAATAAGCACGAGTTATCTGTCAACCCATCAAAAACAGAACTAATACTTTTTACCAACCGAAGAGTTCTTGGACCGTACAAACTTCCGAAACTCTTC